CGCTGCTTTTAGCAATATTCCAGCAATATTACGGCAGGGGACACTAGAAATAGGCTTCACACTTTGTACCCATGAGGAGAATCGAACCCAGGTCTTCAGTGTTACAAATGAACGCATTAACCAATAAACAACCCCACCACCCCCAGATGTGAATTTGAAATGTGAAAATAAGGTGCAAACTTACACAATGAAAATGATGAATGTCAAACGATATACACTGAACACAGAAGAAAATATCACAACTCCATTTTCCTTGACGCTAATCCCTCACATCCAACATGGAATAGTCCATGACAATGCTTGGGAGATTCCTCTATGTAAGTACAGGTATATTTTACAAGGTGTCACAAATATTCATTTATCATACACAGACATACACTGTCAGCTTCCCCATTCAGTGTCAAGTATGGTGAGCATTTGCCAGTATATGTACAGGGATTGAATTTCTCCGGTAGCCACAGAATGGCTGCATTACTGACATATCTACACTTATAAATTAATGTATACATGGGAATAAACATCTTCAGTATACCTCGCAACATAGTGAGGATGGAGGCTATATGCACAGTGTACATCTTCCCCACACAAGGGTGTCATCGACTAGTGAACATCCTCACCACACAGGGATGTTATCAACCAGTGAACATTGTCCCCACACAGGGAGGACATCGTCTAGTGAACATCCTCACCACACAGGGAGGTTATTGACTAGTGAACATCCTCACCACACAGGGAGGTTATTGACTAGTGAACATCCTCACAATGTAGGGAGGACATTGACTAGTGAACATCCTCACAATGTAGGGAGGACATCGTCTAGTGAACATCCTCACAATGCAGGGAGGACATTGTCTAGTGAACATCCTCACCACACAGGGAGGACATTGACTAGTGAACATCCTCACAATGTAGGGAGGACATCGTCTAGTGAACATCCTCACAATGTAGGGAGGACATCGTCTAGTGAACATCCTCACAATGTAGGGAGGACATCGTCTAGTGAACATCCTCACAATGTAGGGAGGACATTGTCTAGTGAACATCCTCACCACACAGGGAGGACATTGACTAGTGAACATCCTCACAATGTAGGGAGGACATCGTCTAGTGAAAATCCTGACAACACAGGGATGTTATCAACCAGTGAACATCCTCACCACACAGGGAGGACATTGACAAGTGAACATCCTCACAATGTAGGGAGGACATGTCTAGTGAACATCCTCACCACACAGGGAGGACATTGACTAGTGAACATCCGGGAGGACATTGACTGGTGAACATCCTCACCACACAGGGAGGACATTGACTAGTGAACATCCTCACCACACAGGGAGGACATTGACTGGTGAACATCCTCACCACACAGGGAGGACATTGACTGGTGAACATCCTCACCACACAGGGATGTTATCAACCAGTGAACATCCGCACCACACAGGGATGTCATCAACTAGTGAACATCGTCCCCACACAGGGATGTCATCGACTAGTGAACATCCTCACCACACAGGGATGTTATCGACTAGTGATCATCTTCCCCACACAGGGATGTTATCGACTAGTGAACATCCTCACCAAAGAGGGATGTTATCGACTAGTGAACATTTTCCCCACACAGGGATGTTATCGACTAGTGAACATCCTCACCACAGAGGGATGTTATCGACTAGTGAGCATCTTCCCCACACAGGGATGTTATCGACTAGTGAACATCCTCACCACAGAGGGATGTTATCGACTAGTGAACATTTTCCCCACACAGGGATGTTATCGACTAGTGAACATCTTCCCCACACAGGGATGTTATCGACTAGTGAACATCTTCCCCACACAGGGATGTTATCAGCTGTAAGTGTGAAGCACAGTGTGCACAATGTCCATCCTCACCACAAAGAGATACGATAGCTCCTAGGTGACTGACAGGAAAACTTTGAATTAAATAGCACATCAACAGTTCATCTCGCACAAACTCCATTCACTGAACACCTTCACTCACCACTCTCAAGAAAATGAACCGACAGCCATTTTGTCCCTTTTCCAATTCACATCAAATAAATATAAACAAATAATGCTCCTCCTTTGTGACAAGAACGTATGAAAGGAAAGATGGAAAAGTTGAATAATTCTTGTTCTCCATGTAAAGTGCTGACTCAGCTATTGAATGGTATAGAACCATCACTGAGTGAATGCTGTCCAGGGGTGGAAATAACTTTAAACTTGACAGTGTACTCTGGTACAGTGGCACATGTAATGCCACTTGCCCTGATAATTTGTCCACTATACCGACCGTTTTCGTGCTGATTTTTTAAATAAACAACATAATTAACATTGGAAAGTCAACTGGACACCGGTACTGTGTGATATACAAATTTGCTTGCCCGACAGAAGAAAACAATGGCCTCGGACGTCGGGCAATGGGTTATTTCCACCCCTGCTGTCATGAGAATTCATAAAGCTAAATTTTATAACAGAGTTATCTGCCCTTGTTTCATGGCCAAGAAGTAACACAGAAGTCTGGAACCTACGGTACAGTTGCTAATTTTCAATACCTTGATGCAGATCTTCTATTTACAGATTAGAGTCAGCAACCTTGACCACGACAGCTGATGATGCATGCACAACTTCCCGGCATGATTTCAGAACTAACTGACAGGTGCCCTGTCTAAAGACTGAAGTGTCTAGACTGACCGACTGTGACTGACTTAAACAACAATAGGTATATCGTGGCATGTTTGCCCAAAGTGATGTAGGTCTCCGATGTTTACAGCGTTGACGAAACACGAGCAAAGAACATTACCAACAGACGCAACTCATGATAGTGAATTGCAGGACCTTGGACAACTGGGCCAATCGGGCCTCAACTGTACATACTCAACACTACAAATAGACTTCATATAAGCTGATACACAAGATGTACCCAAAATCGTAGCAGATTTGGTAAGGGTAAAAAGACTCCTCTTTACCAGTGACCATATGAACATTTAGTCCTTGTGAATTGTTTTCATAGATTGGCACAATATTTGTATGAACAACGGAAGAAATCATATTATTGTCGCAAATTTGTAAGCAATATGAAACATTTGGACAGTATGCAGCTTAGTGAAGTCAACACCCAACAACACGTGATGCCCGGCATGTAAACAAATACATATCCATAACGGGACAGTTGGACAGTAGGGCTGGGACTGGGTCCACATTTTCTACCCGGGTACCCTACCCCCTATTACATACCAGGGCTCCAGATAATTTTTGAACACCAGGAGTACATACTACTTATTTTTTCAATATAGGAGTACTCGAAAACCTTAAGCCTACATTTAGAGTACTGAATGGAATTTAATGGCGTATCAGTAATCTTGTGTTTCGTTTCATATATGCACCACAACATTGCTAGTCTTGTGTAAACAGGTCAATATACAATAAAACAAATACTTTTTTCAGATAAATACGTCTGTAAATGATTCTAAGGCCGTACACCATTGCTGTGGTGCGTATCTGCTACGTTTTATAAATTATTTCCTACCGTATCGTGCAAATTTTTTATCTGTACATACGCCGACACGGCCCTTATCTGGAGCCCTGCATACCCTACCCGGATACCTATCACGTGACTGATATATTAAACAATGTAATGTGTTATTCTTTCATGGTAAAAAGATTTATTGTCTTTGAAGATTTAGACATAGTCACGTGATCATAACGGGTCCGGGTATTGAGACGGGTACCCGGGTCCAACTCATTACCAACCCGTCCCGGGTATCCGGGTTACCCGTCCCAGCCCTATTGGACAGGGAGTCTCTCGACAACCATTGTCTCAGGATCAGTCAACTGAAGATGAGTGAGTTTAGTTTTACGCCACACTCAGCACAACTGAAGATGAACACAAGTGAACGATGAAACATGATAATACTATAACATCTGGAACTATATATTCGATGTTGCATTGTTTGTTGTGGACAAATGATACCCAGGACTATTCGTGTTGATAATACTGTCCCTGTGTGTAGCTAATGTTTTAGTAGGGGATCTTGAGGCATGGCATCTGCTCGTCACCCTTGGGTCTCCATTATGATATCATCAAGACAAGACTTAAAGCTGACTAACAGTCTTCCCTTTATCACTTGGTTGCAAGTATGGGAGCATGAATATTTCTGGGAAATATTCCAAAACTATTCTTGATCCCTAATTAATTTTGTTCAGTACAGATTTATTCCTTCACACATAGCTGTATTCTTGACCTAATGTGCTCCTAATTCAGAGAAAACTTTATAGGATGTGCTTGAATTTCTGACAACTTGACTTGATTTCTTACTTCAGCATGAACAGCTTGCTTCGTGAGCAAGTGAAGTTCTCCACTGGATGCAGCAGAAATGTTCCATGGGACATTAAATACATACTTCACTTATTTCATCCATACTAAATAAGGATGGCAATATGTACAAAACCCCTCTTCCAAAAGTTGACCCATTGAGCCACTGGTCAGTTGAAACATTTGCCCTTTTCACGGAATGCTTGTTAATTGTATCCTGAACTTTTTCAAGCCACAAAACACAGGTGACCTTTCTAATGAACTTCCTCAGGATGTGTTCCCTTGAATTGTTTGAAGTTTGTCATAAAACACTGATGACCTTGAACTCACATCAATGATGCTCCTCGATGTCATGTTTAAAAGCTGAAAGCTTGGCAACTTCGAGGTTATTCTTTAACAACATTTTCACAAAAAAAAGATACAATACTTATAGCATTCAAAGATGAACACAGTTGAATTGCTGACCATTTCTTCTACAAAGATGATGTATGAAGATCTGGTTGTGTCTTTGATACCATGGTAACGGAGAAAAATGAAGCTGGCGCTGTAGGTTCCCTTCGCATATACAACAGCAGCAGGCGAAGGCTGAATGTTTTTGTTTGTCCACTGGAATTGTTTTCTTCTGAACTATCATACAAACAACAAGTTTAGAATATTGAGAAAGTGGTTACTGTTCTAAACTTCAACCAAACTTCAAAACAGAGATAAAGAAGCAACCATTTTCACAACTGCCTCAGATGACCTCCAGAGCCATGAAACATATTCCCAGAATTTTGGTTTACACTGAAATTCTTCAGACTGTTGCTCTGTTTATGTAAGCACAGGGGTAGTGGTAGTATTGGCACTGGGATGGCAACACAGGTTTCCCTGGGAATAATGTTGCTCTGATGGAAACCTGGACATTGCTCTTCCAAATGTCTGATTCCTTTTTCACAATAGACAAAAACTGGTAACCATCTCCAGATTTTAAAATTGGACCTGAAGCTTCAGCTTCTTCAGAACTTGGACACTTCAATTTAATCTCAATGAAAGCACTATTTGTATTAATTGCATCAAAGTACTAACCATGAAAAATGTCGTCGGTTGATAAATAAAACACTGATCATATAAAATACTTTGAATGTGAGAGATAAGTTGTTGAGACAGTTGCATTGACGATGGGCTTCATCATCGTCTGATGGACCGTTGCCGTAACACTGATTCTTTGTTGGAGTCAGAGTAAGTTTCTGATTGTTGCGGTCTAACTCGTTTGGACCGAGAATGTAGTTTTCGTAACAGTTCTGGGAATTTATTGGTCGGAAATAATGTTTCTAGTACTCCTTCAAGACAAACATACACAAGTCTTCGATTTAAGTTTTTGTGTTGGAACATGTCGAACACTCTGGAAACTCCAATACGAATTGTCTCTGTTCCCATCAGATGCCGCAGCTCATCTGAAATAGAAAATGGTGGACATATTGTATATTGCTGAATTACAGGGTATCAGTAGGTTACTTTGATTACCACGAGAATAAGTTGGGTTTAGTGCTGTTATTCCAGTTATAACACTGGACTTTAACATGGGAGGAAAATGATGTGAGACGATGCGAGAGGGAGTGGTTGAGTTGGTGGTTAACAGAGTGAGTGAGTGATACAGAGCTCATGAGTAGGAGGTAAACAGTGAGTGAGTATTAGTTTTAAGCCGCTTTTAGCAATATTCCTGCAATATCACGGCGGGGGATACCAGAAATGGGCTTCACACATTGTACCCATGTGGGGAATCGATCCCAGAGGAGGTAAACAGAGTGAGTGAGTGAGTGATAGAGCGGGCGGTTAACAGAGTGGGTGATACTGAGCTCTTAAGTGGGTGGTTAACAGAGTGAGTGAGTGAGTGATAGGGAGTGATAGAGTGGGCCGTTAACAGAGTGGGTGATACTGAGCTCTTAAGTGGGTGGTTAACAGTGAGTGAGTGAGTGAGTGAGTGAAAGGGAGTGATAGAGTGGGTGGTTAACAGAGTGAGTGATACAGAGCTCTTGAGTGGGTGGTGAACAGAGTGAGTGAGTGAGGGAAGGAGTGACAGGGAGTGATAGAGTGGGCGGTTAACAGAGTGAGTGATACAGAGCTCTTGAGTGGGTGGTGAACAGAGTGAGTGAGTGAGTGAGTGATAGGGAGTGATAGAGTGGGTGATTAACAGAGTTAGTGAGTGAGTGAGTGATAGGAAGTGATAGAGTGGGCGGTTAACAGAGTGATACAGAGCTCGAGTGGGTGGTTAAGAGTGAGTGAGTGAGGGAAGGAGTGACAGGGAGTGATAACACAATAACAAAGTGAGTGAGTGATAGGGAGTGATAGAGTGGGCGGTTAACAGAGTGAGTGATACAGAGCTCTTGAGTGGGTGGTGAACAGAGTGAGTGAGTGAGTGAAGGAGTGACAGGGAGTGATGGAGTGGGCGGTTAACAGAGTGAGTGATACAGAGCTCTTGAGTGGGTGGTGAACAGAGTGAGTGAGTGAGGGAAGGAGTGATAGGGAGTGATAGAGTGGGCCGTTAACAGAGTGAGTGATACAGAGCTCTTGAGTGGGTGGTTAACAGAGTGAGTGAGTGAGGGAAGGAGTGATAGGGAGTGATAGAGTCGGCCGTTAACAGAGTGAGTGATACAGAGCTCTTGAGTGGGTGGTGAACAGAGTGAGTGAGTGAGTGACAGAGTGGGCGATTAACAGATTAACAAAGTGAGTGAGTGATAACACGATAACAAAGTGAGTGAGTGATAGGGAGTGATTGAGTGGGTGGTTAACAGAGTGAGTGAGTTATAGGAGTGCTTGGTCAACAATGAGTGATTGAGTGATACAGAGTGGGCGGTTAACAGTGGGAGAGTGAGTGGGAGAATGAGTGAGTGGGAGAATGAGTGAGTGAGTGAGTGAGTGAGTGAGTGAATGAGTGAGTGAGTGGCTTACTGCTCCATCACATACCTGACACACTACCCAGCATCTTGGCCTTGCACAGTACCCGTGTTCTCATCATGGTGTTATCGTCACGTGTGGGCCGTGGCTCAGCCAGTTGACCCATGGGCCAGAATGAATCCCTGAAAAACATTTCCAAGTGTCATTGAGTCTAAGTTAGTAAGTAAGCTTATATGCCAGTTTTAGCAATATTCCAGCAATATCAAGGGCGAGGGAGACCAGAAATGGGCTTCACACATTGTAGCCATGTGGGGAATCAAACCTGGGTCTTAAGTGTCATGAGTGAATGCTTTAACTAGCAGGCTATCCCACTGCCTGCATAGAATATCAAATAATGATAACGCAAAAACTGAAACACATAATGTTTATCAACTTTGTAGCATTTAAAAGTTATCAATAGCTTTCTGTAGTGCTCTCACTACATGGACTAAATAGTTGTAAGAGATATGAATCTACACTTGAAAGTAATTTACAATACCTACTTGAGTCTATATAATTTAACCAGGAAAAAAATCAACACTTTCGTTTGTTTTTGTTTGAATCTTTTAACATGAAAAGTTTAATTTGTATAAACTTAATGAAGAATGAGTGAGTGAGTGAGTCTAGTTTTACGCCGCTTTTAGCAATATTCCAGCAATATCACGGCGGGGGAAACCAGAAATGGGCTTCACACATTTTGCCTATGTAGGGAATCGAACCCGGGTCTTCGGCGTGACGAGCGAACGCTTTAACCACTAGGCTACCCCACCGCCCCACTTAATGAAGACATGTAGAACACATATGAATAAGAAATCGACACTGGAGATTTCAAGTTTGGTGTTAATGGATGGATATAGCTCATGTTTGTTTGTTGTTTAATGCCGCACTCATCAATATCCCAGCTATATGGTGGCAGTCTGTAAATAGTCGAGTCTGGACCAGAGAATCCAGTGATCAACAGCACGAGTATTGATCTACGCAATTGGGATATGATGATTTGTGTCAAAGTCAGCGAGCCTGACCACCCGATCCCGTTAGACACCTCTTCAGAAGAGTTGCTGCAGATCAATTCTAACCCGGATCTTCCCGGGTAGGATGGACAGACTGACAAAGACCATAACGTCAGCTCAGATTGATGATGACAAGGTGAGCTAAATATGTCCATGAGAAGTGTATGATCAAGGGAGACAATGCAATTTACCTGAAAGTTTTGATGTACTCTGCCATCTGCTCTGCCGATGTCATCCAGTTCACGTGATCTACTATTTTCCTGAAAACAGTCAGTATGACAACAGGTGTAAATGAAATGAACAGGCTCGATATCACATGCCACTGAAAGCCATGACCAACTGAGCTAGAGCTATTTGGCTGGACTGAAACAGTCTTGGATGTATGAGTGCATGCTACCTGGTTGGCTGGTTGTTTAATGCTGCACTTAGCAATATTCCAGCTATATGGCAGCGTTCTGTAAATAATAGAGTCTGGACCAGAAAATGCTGTGATCAACATCATGAGCATCGATCTACACAGTTGAGATACGATGACATGTGTCAGCCACATCACCCGATCCTGTCAGTTGCCTTTGTTTTTTTTGTTTTAAACATATTTTATTCATTCAAGAAAAGGATTGGGCACAAGTTATCCAACTTAGAAAAGCCCTCTCCAGATAATTACACAATTCATCTTACAACAAAGTACACAAGTGACAGACATAGGCTAGGATATGTACAACAGATGTTAACTGAGAAAGCGTTTTGTTTGAGAGATATAGATATGTACATATTTGAAAACATTCTGGTTGTCAGTGATTGAGAGACCTGCATTGCCTTGTAAGATAAGATTAATATCAATCAGTGTTCTATTTTTGACAATATGTTCTAAAGATTTTAACAGTTTATGTCTTTGAATAGTATACAAAGGACATTCAAGGAAGTAATGAAAAACATTCTCACATCTATGGCCACATTGACATGATCGTCATTTTTACATTTATTCTATATAAATCATAATTAAGTGTACTCGTCATATATCTTAATCTAGTGTGCATAACATTGAACTTCCTTATTCCATATGAATAATATATAGGTGCACATTTTTCCTGCGTGGATATAAGATTTAAACGTGGCAACAGAGTCATAATTTCTAATAGCTAAGGGAATATTATTCCACACTTTAACTGTTGATGGAATAAAAGATGACGTTGAGTACCTCAGTCTTGTATATGGTTGACTAAAGTTATTTGAGTTTCTTAACTCATAACTTGTCTGGTTGCTAACTACAGGTGGGAGTAAATCTTGAAGAAAAACTGGTGTCAGGCATTTCTTAATTTTATAAAATAATGTTAATTTCGCGTCTTCTCCTTCTCTCAGAAAGTAAATCCCATCCCGTTTAAGTAATACAATGAACTGGAAGATGCATATCTTGGAAGACCAGTAACTATGCTGCTTCAAGTTGAAGTTTTTCTAATCTATTAGCTTGTTCAATTAAACATCCATCCCATACCTCGCATGCGTACTCAAAGTGTGGCCTTATGAATACAGTATATATTTTTAAGCTAGTGTTGTTCTATTTAATAAGAACTTTAATTTCGAAATGATCAATCATTTTAGATGTCTTTTGATAATGTTTTCAATATGATGATGCCAGCTCCGTTAGAAGTGAAGATTAAACCCAGATGTTTATGAAAATCGACTGTTTTTATATTGCAGTTATCAAACTTCAAATTAATGTCTTTTTTGCCATCTTTCAAAGTAAATAATATAGCTTCAGTTTTTTCCGGATTGTAGGAAATTAACCAGACCTTTGCCCAATCGTTTAATATTTTTAGATTTTCATTCATGGCTCTTTCCATCACTTGTTTGTCCTTTGATAAAGTTCCCAGTGAAGTATCGTCAGCGAAAAGCCGAGTTATGCAATGTAGCTTATCAGCTATCTCATTTACATACACAATAAAAGTTGCCTTTTACGACAAGCATGGGTTGCTGAAGACCAACTCTAACCCGAATCTTCATAGGTTTCATGTGACCTGGAATAGCCATCTTGGATGCTGTCATGTGGTGCTACATGACAGAGTGAGTGAGTTGAGTTTTACGTCGCACTCAGCAATATTCCAGCTATATGGCAGCGCTCTGTAAATAATCGAGTCTGGACCAGACAATCCAGTGGTCAACAGCATGAGCATCGATCTGCGCAATTGGGAACCGATGACATGTGTCAACCAAGTCAGCGAGTCTGACCACCCGATCCCGTTTGCCGCCTCTTACCACAAGCATGGCTTACTGAAGGTTCATTCTAACCCGGACCTTCACGGGTCCTACATGACAGATGGAATACTGGTACTGTCATAAGCATAACATAAAGAAGGGACTTAACTATGATATACCAATGTGTACTTCCCATACCTTATGCCACGTCGGGAAATGTTGAATGCGAAAAAGTTTAAACACTAAAGTGACAGCTCTCCTTCTTCAGGACAATGGGCTTCTCACATTGTACACGTTGGGAATTGAACCTGGGTCTTTGGTTTGACGACCGAATGGTTCTCTCTCTCACGACGCCTTGCTGTGCCTTGCGCCTTGCGCCGCATGCGCGCCGCGCCGCTACGCCTTGCATGACGCATGCCGCCGCGCCGCATCGCACACACACACTGGTCCAGATGCTACAGTGGCCTACCTGTTGATCATGTCCCCGAATGTGGCCTTGATGAGTTGACGTAGAATGGCCACCATACGACGACGAAGCCACTGGTTCTTGTGCCGCAGGTCGAACACCTCGTCCATGAGCAGTAACATGATGCGGAGTGGGATGTTGTCTTCAGTCTGTGGGAAAACATGACATGTCCTGTAACACCTCAACATCACTAGAGATTTCAAGTTACCAGAATGATACTGACATCAGCACAACTACTCAACATTTAAATTCTGCATGACATTATTGTCAGCACAACTACTCAACATTTAAAATCTGCATGACATTATTGTCAGCACAACTACTCAACATTTAAAATCTGCATGACATTATTGTCAGCACAACTACTCATCATTTAAAATCTGTATGACATTATTGTCAGCACAACTACTCAACATTTAAAATCTGCATGACATTCTTGCCAGCACAACTACTCAACATTTAAAATCTGCAGGACGTTATTGTCAGCACAACTACTCAACATTTAAAATCTGCATGACATTATTGTCAGCACAACTACTCATCATTTAAAATCTGTATGACATTATTGTCAGCACAACTACTCAACATTTAAAATCTGCATGACATTCTTGCCAGCACAACTACTCAACATTTAAAATCTGCAGGACGTTATTGTCAGCACAACTACTCAACATTTAAAATCTGCAGGACGTTATTGTCAGCACAACTACTCAACATTTAAAATCTGCATGACATTCTTGTCAGCACAACTACTCAACATTTAAAATCTGCATGATGTTATTGTCAGCACAACTACTCATCATTTAAAATCTGCATGACATTATTGTCAGCACAACTACTCATCATTTAAAATCTGCATGACATTATTGTCAGCACAACTACTCAACATTTAAAATCTGCAGGACGTTATTGTCAGCACAACTACTCAACATTTAAAATCTGCATGACATTCTTGTCAGCACAACTACTCAACATTTAAAATCTGCATGATGTTATTGTCAGCACAACTACTCATCATTTAAAATCTGCATGACATTATTGTCAGCACAACTACTCATCATTTAAAATCTGTATGACATTATTGTCAGCACAACTACTCAACATTTAAAATCTGCATGACATTCTTGCCAGCACAACTACTCAACATTTAAAATCTGCAGGACGTTATTGTCAGCACAACTACTCATCATTTAAAATCTGTATGACATTATTGTCAGCACAACTACTCAACATTTAAAATCTGCATGACATTATTGTCAGCACAACTACTCAACATTTAAAATCTGCAGGACGTTATTGTCAGCACAACTACTCAACATTTACAATCTGCATGACATTCTTGTCAGCACAACTACTCAACATTTAAAATCTGCATGATGTTATTGTCAGCACAACTACTCAACATTTAAAATCTGCATGATGTTATTGTCAGCACAACTACTCAACATTTAAAATCTGCATGACATTCTTGTCAGCACAACTACTCATCATTTAAAATCTGTATGACATTATTGTCATATGAAAAATATCAATAACATGAATGAATTTACAGCAGTAATCATTATGTTATTATTCAGCATGTTGAAAACAAATAACAAATACTAGAGTCCCAAAAATTATGCAGGAGATATTCCTCACATGAACATCGATAAACACGTCCTTGTTTTCAGTTGTCATAGCAGGGGTTTACAGAACGTGTGATTCCTGCGTATTGGATGCAGAAATTTGATGAAGTACCCCCAAACTAAAATCATGTGCATCCTTGTGGATGCAATATAATTTTGTTTTTCTGGGAAAGAACTTTCTGAGTTTGTAATGATATCCCATAATTAAATATAAACATTCTGTTTACAATCACTATTCTAATGACATTGAAAGTAACACACATTATAACATAATCATTATCAGGTGGGAAGCATCCATGATCAAAGATCTCATGCAAATTGATGGACTCCCATTTTTGGAAATGGACTCTAAAGAAAATATGTCCCGATTCTCCAGGACTCCCAGTTTTGAAGACCTATGTAAAACCCTGTCATAGTGGCTGATATAACCTGGCAACAATAAGAGGCCCGTGTATATTGGAGGCTTCTCAAAGAGGAAGTACAGTAATTGCGACTACAAATGAACTCATTGAGTAGTGGGGTGTCCCTATGTCACTCACGTCCAAGCCATGCAAGCCAGCCCCGACTTTACCACTGTTGAAGCCATCCTGCAGTTCACCCTGCATAAAAACCAAGTAACTCTTCAACAATTTGATTGGTTCTGACTTGCTGTTATCATGATAATCATTATTACTGTATAAGTATCATTTTAAATATTCAGTCAAACACAATTGTGTTCAAGTCGAATGGACCTACATAAATACTTCAAGATAAAAAAAAGGTTAGATGTAATCATAATATGATGACTAAATAACTGACTGACTGACTGAGTTTGGTTTTACGCTGCTTTTAGCAATATTCCAGCAACATCACGGCAGGGGACACCAGAAATGGGCTTCACACATTGTGCCCATGTGGGGATTCGAACCCCGGGTCTTTCGGCGTGACGAGCCAACGCTTTAACCATTAGGCTACCCCACCGCCCCTGATGACTATATAAGGAATATGCAGGTACCCACTTTCAACGTAGACACGACTATAAGTTTGAAACATCAAAGTTTGACAAAACAGAGTTTGTAATTCAAGAAAGTCATGGTCTTGGAACTTGAATATCAAGTCCTGAATCACTTATTCATTCAACATCAGTGTACTGGCCTAAAATATAACACAAAAATGGTGTGACTAAACTGACACGTTGTCATGGTTACTCACATTATTGCCTGTCCTCATCCCATCAATACTCTTGACAGCGTTGCTGACATTCTTCATGGACGTCTTCAATGGGTTGACGATTGTATCCATCTGAAACAGTCAGTGTTTGTCATTGAATGTTACACTCTGCAGTGTTCCAGCAATATCACTGCTGGCTGTTAAAAACATGGCTCTGGACCAGACCATCCACTGATTGATTTTGTGTGTATGATCTTCATAATTTCTTCAGTGGCCTCTTGAAGTGTAGAATATGTTGCTCGGGACCTATTTACAACCAGAAACTATGGGCTGTGTATCCAAGAACTCACCTTCCGTGCCAGATCACTCTTGTGTTTCTCCCAGAGACCAGGAGCCAAGAACTGTATAACCAGTTCTTCCATTCCAGGAAACTTGGTCCACATGTCTGGCTTAAGCAGACCCTGTAACAATGAGAGTGAGTGAGATATGAAGTCGTTCAACAAAATGTAAGCATATAATGCAACAGTGGACACCCTGAAGTAAGCATGCCCTCTCCAATATAAGAGTATAAGTGAATGACTTTACCCACTATGAACGGAAAATACCCACCCTGAAGTAGGAGCATCCACCCTGAACTGAGTATACCCAGACTTAACTGAGGATCCACCCTGATGTGAGCACCCAACCAACTTAAAGTAAAAGTAACCATCCTGAACTGAGTGTACCCACTCTGAAGTAAGAGCACTCACCCTGAAGTAAGAGCACTCACCCTGAAATAAGTGTACCCACCCTGAAGCAAGAGTACCCACCCTGAAGTAAGCATCAAGAGCTTTCCTCCGTTTCTCCAGGAAGTCCTTGCTTGTGTTCTTCACTAATGTCTTGGGAGGCAGGTGAGGCCCAATCCATTCTGGAAACTGAGAGAAACGCCATTGCACTGTAACTCACCTTCACATTTAACATTATGTCCACTTCCATAAATAAAGCTGTTTAGATGCCAACACAAACAGCAACCAAAACTGGTACATATAAACATTTTGTTCAATACTGCAGGCAACAATATTTGTGCCATATAGCTCATGCCGCAGTGGATTAATCTCAGATGCTAAACACAAACGGAAATCTAAATGCATGCACAACAACCGGTGAATACTGACACGATCAACCAAGCCACTTAGTGTGAATACCTAGCCCTCTTTGATTTGTTGGTTTGCTGTTCAATGGTTCACTGAGCAATATTCCAACTATTATGACCTAGCCTGGAAAAACAGTTCAGTCTGGACCAGACAATCCAGTGACTGATACAGTGAGCAACAATTTTGGGTATTATGACATAACAAACCAAGTATGCAAGACTGACCACTGAGCATGATGGAAGCCTGTAAATAATCCAGTTTGGACCAGGCAATCCAGTGATCAATATTGTGCACCATGATCCCTACTACTGGTGTAGGCGTTTCAGCAATATTCCAGCTATATGGCGGCGGTCTGTAAATAATCGAGTCTGGACCAGACAATCCAGTGATCAACAGCATGAGCATCGAACTAAGCAGTTGGGTGTAGGATGATACACAATATATAGTCATCGAGCCAGACCACCCAATCCACAAAGATGTCTCTTACAGCCACATCCGTGAATGTCCGGGTTAGAATATTGATCTTCAGTAATACATGCTTGTCGTAAGAGGCGACTAACGGGATCGGGTGGTCAGGCTCGGGTGTTCGGAAAAATGTCCTTGGGAAAAAAAGTCCTACTTTTAATGTTACAATAACTTTGATGTCAACATCAGTTTAATCTGTTTTCACAATAATAGGACTTTTTTTTCGGTACTTTTTTTACCAAGGACTTTTTCTCCTATAATCCAGACCCGCTGATTTGGTTGATATATGTCATCGGTTCCCAATTGTGCAGATCGATGCTCATGCTGTTGATCATTGGATTGTCTGGTCCAGACTCGATTATTTACAGACCACCGCCATATAGCTGGAATATTGCTGAGTGTGGCGTAAAACTAAACTAAATTCACTCACTTACTCTTACAGCCAGCATGGGACTGGAATCACCAATGGTTTCAAACTCCCTCAAAGTCCTAACTCAAGAGACCTCTATTTGACCTACCCTTTCTATGAGCAGCATGTTAAGGTCGTGGAAGTCACTATAGCGTCTGTACACGTCCCAGATCTCCTCCTCTTCCACTCCCCTCACCCGCTTCTTCACCGTCACGGCGAACACAGCGTACGACTTGCCAGACTCCTTCACAATACCTGCAACAGCCACATCTCAAGTCACCCTGAGATACTTATGGACACTAATAAGAATCTAAATGCTATTTCTTTGATCATACGAGTTTGTAGATAATCCTGATTGAACAAGAAACAATGTTCACAGTCTTCACATTTTCTATTCAGTTTGAAGCAAAACTGAAGCATCCTCTGACTGATTATAGCCGATCCATGGATCACTATTCCATACATTGATGTGATACAGGCCATGCATGTTATGTGAGCCAGTTGAGCCAGCAATCATTGACAGGATCATCAACACATACCACACTGAGATATAGAAGCCAGGTACGTTATCTCTGCCGGTGTTCCTCCAGAAGAGGCTGAGGACAATGAGTCCAGGGACCGTGTCTCTGGGGAACTGTCGTCGATGATATCTTCAGCCTGAGGAACAGAACACTACAATATACAAACTTAGATACAAGTATTTTCAAATGTTGTATCTCTATATCCAGAATACTTGATGAGAGAAATGGTGTCTAATTGTGGCATTAGAGTAAATGTATACATTTTACACATGATATGTGTTATTAACAAGTGAAAATCGTACATCCCTAATCCATTTGAAAAGTGACAGGGGAAAGGTTAATTGTGCATCTGTGAGGTTTGACAATAGGGTACCGTATATTACCGTCTATAAGCCGAATTTTGAGGACCCAAAAAAGCAGTCTGTAGAAGGGGGTCGTCTTATCCATGGGTTACGCTTTCGGTCAAACTTTTTCCAGGGGTAAGAAAACGACATCGTATCACTTCGTGTGAACAAACAACAGAAGACGACATTGTCAGTAGAGACGTCAAATTTGCAATTAAACATCACTAGACAAGATTATTTACCTTTTAAGTTCTAAGTTGTTTTTGCTGGGCATTGTATTATTTGCAGGGATTAAGATTACCGTGTGTATCTGAGCCGGAAATAGCAATCAGCTGTGCACGTTTCCCGGCGATCAAGTTCAAACATGCACAATAATATAACGGGATGAATTCTGATGCAGTCATCAGTAAAATATAATACAGAATACTATTATTTAACCCAAAGAAATATATCCTAGCATTGTGTAATTTTAATTACATTTTTTGCTCTATAAATTAATTAAGATTGAGATTACCGTGTGTATTTGAGCCAGAAATAGCAATCAGCAGCGAACAAGTTCAAACATGCACAATAATATAATGGGGCAAATTCTGACGCAGTCATCAGTAAAATATAATACAGAGTACTATTATTTAACCCAAAGGAATATAACCTAGCATTGTGTAATTTTAATTACAGTTTTTATGTAAAATATATATAATCAACACTAAGGTTATACGGACCCTCATGAACGTGGTAAGCAGAAGTTGTACGCACATGGAATGGGGTAAAATACGGAAGCCATTTAAATTCACACATTTTTACCGATGTTACTGTAAACTAGCAGTCAATGGAAAACGAGGCGGTAATCAGTTCGTGATTGTTGAATGGGGTAAAATAAGCAAGCCAGTTTGTTGCTACAATAAATATGATATTTAGAGAAACAAAATATATTATGCATTTTCTGTCAACTACACTTCGTTTCGATCCGTGAGTAGACGCAATATATATGATTGTGAATTCTGTGGACCAAAGTTATAATTATTGGTAACTGCCAGTTGTCTGTGGTCTGTGTTTGCTGCGATTAGGACCCCATCGTGGGGGATCGACTTATCCATGAAACATACCATTTTGACACTGATTTTAAGGGTCAAGTTTGGGGGTCGTCTTATCCATGGGGTTGTCTTATAGACGGTAATATACGGTATGTTATAAGCTGGGAACTGTGGGGAATATCACTGAGGAAAGGTTAGAGATATAGAGTATTTCTGTTACATCCCACAGTGGTTGGTTGTTGTGGAGTTGACTGATTGGTTACAGATATGGAGTATTTCAGGTACATCCCACAGTGGTTGGTTGTTGTGGAGTTGACTGATTGGTTACAGATATGGAGTATTTCTGTTACATCCCACAGTGGTTGGTTGTTGTGGAGTTGACTGATTGGTTACAGATATGGAGTATTTCTGTTACATCCCACAGTGGTTGGTTGTTGTGGAGTTGACTGATTGGTTACAGATATAGAGTATTTCTGTTACATCCCACAGTGGTTGGTTGTTATGGAGTTGACTGATTGGTTACAGATATGGAGTATTTCTGTTGCATCCCACAGTGGTTGGTTGTTATGGAGTTGACTGATTGGTTGCAGATATGGAGTATTTCTGTTACATCCCACAGTGGTTGGTTGTTATGGAGTTGACTGATTGGTTACAGATATGGAGTATTTCAGGTACATCCCACAGTGGTTGGTTGTTATGGAGTTGACTGATTGGTTGCAGATATGGAGTATTTCTGTTACATCCCACAGTGGTTGGTTGTTGTGGAGTTGACTGATTGGTTACAGATATGGAGTATTTCTGTTGCATCCCACAGTGGTTGGTTGTTATGGAGTTGACTGATTGGTTGCAGATATGGAGTATTTCTGTTACATCCCACAGTGGTTGGTTGTTATGGAGTTGACTGATTGGTTGCAGATATGGAGTATTTCTGTTGCATCCCACAGTGGTTGGTTGTTATGGAGTTGACTGATTGGTTACTGATATGGAGTATTTCTGTTGCATCCCACTGTGGTTGGTTGTTATGGAGTTGACTGATTGGTTACAGATATGGAGTATTTCTGTTACATCCCACAGTGGTTGGTTGTTATGGAGTTGACTGATTGGTTACAGATATGGAGTATTTCTGTTGCATCCCACTGTGGTTGGTTGTTATGGAGTGGACTGATTGGTTACAGATATGGAGTATTTCTGTTACATCCCACAGTGGTTGGTTGTTATGGAGTTGACTGATTGGTTACAGATATGGAGTATTTCTGTTGCATCCCACAGTGGTTGGTTGTTGTGGAGTTGACTGATTGGTTACAGATATGGAGTATTTCTGTTGCATCCCACAGTGGTTGGTTGTTATGGAGTTGACTGATTGGTTACAGATATGGAGTATTTCTGTTGCATCCCACAGTGGTTGGTTGTTATGGAGTGGACTGATTGGTTGCAGATATGGAGTATTTCTGTTACATCCCACAGTGGTTGGTTGTTATGGAGTTGACTGATTGGTTGCAGATATAGAGTATTTCAGGTACATCTCACAGTGGTTGGTTGTTATGGAGTTGACTGATTGTTTGCAGATATGGAGTATTTCAGGTACATCCCACATCGGTTGGTTGTTGTGGAGTTGACTGATTGGTTACAGATATGGAGTATTTCAGGTACATCCCACTGTGGTTGGTTGTTATGGAGTTGACTGATTGGTTACAGATATGGAGTATTTCAGTTGCATCCCAGACTAGGAAAATAGGTAGCTGCTTTTTTCTGGTTCAAAATTAATATTTTTGAAGTTCTTATTTACCGAAATATAATGTTGTGGGATGATGATGTATTGCAGACGGAGAATATCGGTATCTGGATGGGTATCGGTTATCCCCCATAGGGGCCAATTAAGGGAAACATGAGTGAATGTCAGGGGGGTTCAGTATAAGCTATATTGAGGCCATGGAGATGAGATGTGAGGTGTATGAAAATGAACATTCTTGTGTGAGAGCAGGAGTTGTTGTTGTTCACATAACATTAGAGTTGACATCATTCATGCCAAAATGATTCTCTGATTTCCACAATTGGAAAAACATAATATTTCAGAAAACATTCAAATATTTACAATTGAATAAATTAAATAAAGTATTTAATACCATTACAACTTTAAAAAGATATTAAATTAGACATTCTTATTTCAAACATATCGTTATAAGCAAACAGATGAAAGTGATTAAGCTGACTAGGTTCTCATGGCTACTGTAACCATGGCAACAGAAAGCATTCGAGTACAAGCTTTGATGAGCATTCTAGAACATTCAGTTGATAACAAAACAGTGAAAAGAGCAACTGAAGAGTGCATTGAAGGTCATTACAAATCGGCAGGACTACTGGGTGTGTAAACATTTACAGTTTTCTGTGAGAAACATGTAAACTTTAAAATACAGAACACCATTTAGAAATTACATGACAAGGACAAAGGGTTGTCTTTTACTTTTATCTCTGTTCAACAGAAGGCAATAAAGAAACTGAATGCATTGCTTTAAAAAAACACATTCCAAAGAGTGTCTGAAAAATGAGTCAGGTTTCAATGAGTCAACGTGCAGAGTGACAAATCAAATTTGTGTTAACAATCAATTAAAGTGCCTAACTATGACATTGAACTAAAATATAATTTGCACAAAAACTAATGATGAAAATTCAAAAACAGAATCTGTGCTCTTGTAGACCTAACTGCATGAAGATAAAATAATTGTTTACAAATAGTAATGCAAATTAGATCAATTGTGCTAAGTTACAAAACCAGATAAATATTGTGTTTCCAGTTTGTAATCTCAAGCATGGAGGAAACTGGTTATAAAATCAACAAACTGAATGAAAGATAAAAATATCCTTTTTAAAAAAAATGTCTTTAGTTCCATTTGAAACTTTTCCCAAATTGTTTTTTGGACTTATATGAAAATTTCCAATCATGAATTTTTGGATTGATTAAAAAAATTATTCCAGAAACATATTTTAGGTTTAATTTGAAAACGGTTCTTAGGATTGATTAGAAAATATTCTAAGATATCATTTCAGGATTAAATTTGAAATTTTGTAATAGCTTCTTCTCACATTGCCTATAGTTACTCCTTTGAAAACTTATTTGCCCTTCAATTATTTTTTAAACTAATACTATTTAGTACATTATATGGGATGCAGCAGCTCAATGGAAATGAAAATTTGAAAGCAAAACAACATTCAACTAATAACAGTTTTTCTCAAAAGAAATTACAGATAAAAAGTCTAAACACACACTGTTGACAGAGATAAACGTAGAAGATATAGGAAAAAACATGAACTTACACTGCCCACCGAACCAGACCGTGCAGACATGTCTAAGCAAAGCAAAAAGAAAACACACTCACTAGTGTTTGTATGAGATGAAAAATGCAATTAATGACATAAACAGCAATATATGAGATCAGGTTATAAGGCCATCTAGGAGCTATGTTTAGCATAAATACTACAGTCAACAATAACTGACTGACGTGGCTGAGTGTATCTTGACATGAAACGCTACATAAGCATGGGTAGTGTGTGGCTGGTTATTAATTTCAAATGTTTTTTAACCACAATCTCACTAAAATCAGATCTTTGTCCCTCTACCACTACACAAAAATCTGAAGAATTACGAGTCCTGTCAGGGCGACCTTTCGTAAATTCTGAATAACCAATAAGACAAACAAGAAATCGATATTAACCAACCAGACAGCAACTTTCACAAGCTTTACAGCTCTAGTTCATCACTGCCATCATCTATTCAAAGTTTGAAAGCTGAAATAACTAAAATTCGTCTTTGTAAAACAAAAGTGTTTGGCAATATTTTCCATGGGCTAAGGATAGTCTCTATGCTTAGAAATGTCTATCCCTTTGAGACCAGAGACAGAAAAAGGTCTTGATGGAACCTGTTGTTCTGCCAGTCCGTAAAAGTCATGTGGAAAACCCTTTGTTGTAATGTTGACCAGTAGTGATTCCATGAGGAAACAAACATTCAGTCAGTTTCTTGATCTGGTAAGAGAGAGTCTGATTTGTCTGATGTGACAAGTAACAGCATATCCTCTGATCTGTGTTTGGGGTGGTGAGAAGATCTGGCCCCGATTTCTAGAAACAAACTTAAGTTTTTACTCAAATTTCAAACTGAGTTTGACAATTTGAAACAGCTGAATGCTTAACTCAACTGCATTTTATAAATAAAAAAGCCCAAACAACTTAAGTAATCTATCCACCAAACTCAAATTGTCTACTATGTTCGAGTTTAATATCGATTTCAGTTCATTCTGCAAAATGCATTTTCTCAAACTTGAGTAAAAACTTTAACTTAAGTCAAAACTCAGACTTAAGTTTGTTTCGAGAAATCGGGGTCAGATTTTAACATTGTCATAACCATGCTACTGAGCTGGTAATGCATCATTTCAAAATCTAATCTTTATATTTTGACTTACAAAATTTCTTTTACAATTTTACTTCACAATTCTAAAGACAGAATTTCATTTTGTTAGCAAGCATTCTAGGAAATGTGTAATATATTTCAGTCTATGGTACAGATCCTTTAGCTGCACCTGCACACAATGTTGTTCTTTTGCTGGTTGACTCAACTTCAGGTCGGTATTGTCATGACGTGCACTGAAACTGTCTTCTGGTCTTCTTAAAAGATATCATATTCCTGTGACAGCAGGAGGTGAACAATCAAGTCTGGACCAAATAATCCAGTGATTGATATAATGAGCAACCAGTGTTGTCACAGACTTGCCTACCCCTTTTAAAGAAAATAGTAAGATCAGCTAAAATAAAAATAGTAATTAAGGCGGGTGCATTTGATAGTAAGGCATGTTAATGTCAAGAAATAAAGGGAAAACTTAGCTAGTTAAAATCTTAATATAGTGTTTAATAGTCAAATGTGGTGCCGATCTAATTAACGTTCTAATTAACGTTTAAAATCTTTCACTTTTAAATAAACTTTACCAGCACTGTAAGATACAAAGACTATTTATTAATAATGCTTATGATGCAACTTCTGTTTTTCAGTACTTTATGCAATAATGCTTAACTGTGTTTAAAAGCTCTTTTGCTTTTTTTATTAATGACATCAGTAAAATACAAGATACCTCTGTAAAGTTACATCATTAGTTATCATAACATGGAAATTCAAGTATATGAAGTTTTGACAATGTTTGCTGAAAATATGGATGAAATTTTGATTCAGAGAACACCTAGCTGTGTTACATCTTAAGTAAACTTATACAGTCGAATCCCGATGAGTCGAATGCCGGTGTCTCGAATATTATGCATAACTCGAAGTACCTGTCGGTCCCGACCATTCCCTGTTATAGTTGTCATCATTTGAATACCGGTTACACGAATTCGTCTCATAAATACACACGATGACTCGAGAAGGAAATTTGGTCCCATGAGATTCAAACAACAGCAATCTTGTATACGTAAGCCGAAGTCAGTGAATGAGAAGTTGATTGGTGTAGCAAACTGATCCAATTAACAAACCAGCGCGGCTCACACCTTTCCGCCATTGACGGGTGAGTTCAAAAGGCAGATTTGTGATTTTACGGAAATCACTGTCTGTGCTAATCAGACTGGAACCGATAAGGTGTCCCTATTAGTGATAGGGAAATCATTAGATAAACAAATGCTTAGGCGCAGGAATTAGGAAGGGATCATCTTTTTTTCTACCCTCATAGACATACCTATGTCTCGAATACATCGATAAGTCGAATTAATTACTTGGTCCCCAGCGATTCGACTCATCGGGATTTGACTGTAATTATGTTGAATGTGCTGAAATGTATCAATTTTCAAATAAGAGACAAATCAGATAAAGAAATAAGACAGTATAACAACTTCTAATGTTTCATTGCATTGGTCTTCATGCAACTAAAACAAGAGTTAGTTTGACTTTCACTTTATGGCAGACTTGTGACGTGAGCAGTTTAATGTCAAGTGGAAATACCTAACATGCAGTCAGTCCAGGGCAGGAGATAGGGTTCTGGTTGATGCAATAGACAGACTCAAGTCAGTACTATCAGTAAGACAGGTTAAATGTTTCATTGTCCACACTATTTTCAGCCATGCATATATGTACACTCAGCCATGCAGTTTCCATGGTAACTTAATTTTTTGGGAAAGGAGCATTTCTTGAATAAGGATCATAAGATGTTTCAAAAAGTTATTTCTGTATTTACTAGATCTTTAATTCTACCAAACTTCAAAAATAGTTCATATTTCATATGATCTTAAAAAGAAAAAAATAGATTCAAGAACACTTGAACAAAATGAATTCAAAAACATTTCTTTTCATGTGATTTTAATAGAGTTTCTTTAGTTCTCATTAAAAAATAACACATGAATATAAATAAATTCATTCAATCTTCAAACGATGATAGAAAACATATTTTCAAGTTTTCAACAAAGAAAGAAACTACAGATGCTCGTTTTCCAATATGAAGAACAAACATTAAAATCAGAATCCCAGAATCCATGCATGAACGAACAATGGGACATGAGGGCAGAGTGCAACAGGCACCCAGAACTTCCACCTACTTTAAACCATATAATCCTCGGCACTGCAACATAGGCATCAGTATCACAATCAACTGGAATCTCCAACATACTCAAACACACAGATCTATCTTGGATCCTAAACAAAGTGGCTGTGGTAGGGCATTTTCTGAAGTAACTTTTGTTTCTTACTGGTTAAGTTGTAATTTATGATTACCAGAATCCTATATTTCAATTTGAGAGTTTTTACCAACAAATGCAGCCTTTGAAATGAAGCCTCTGAGAAGGCTCCAACATAAACAAACACAGGGATTCATCTACGATCATAAACAAAAAGCCTGCGGCAGTGTAATTTCTGACCTGAAGAAAATGCCTGTGACAGGGCAATTTCTGCCCTGAACAAAGTGCCGGCGCCAGGATAGTTTCTGACCTGAACAAAGTTGCTGTGGCACTGTAATTTCTGACCTGAACAAAGTGCCTCTGGCAGGATAGTTTCTGACCTGAACAAAGTGCCGGCGCCAGGATAGTTTCTGACCTGAACAAAGTGCCTGTGGCACAGTAATTTCTGACCTAAACAAAGTGTATGCGGCAGGATAGTTTCTGACCTGAACAAAGTGCCTGTGGCACGGTAATTTCTGACCTGAATAATTTCTGACCTAAACAAAGTGTATGCGGCAGGATAGTTTCTGGCCTAAACAAAGTGCCTGTGGCATGGTAATTTCTAATGAAACTTTTCTTTCTGCAATTTTTTACCAGTAGAGTTCTTATTCATGATAACCTGAATCCTTTATTTTAATTTGAGAAGTTTTACCAATGTAGTCTTTGAACATAAGCCTCTGAGAAGATCCAGATAAATCCTTGCAAGAGGCTGATAAATATCTAATGAATTATCAAAATAGGGACAATAACACAAGCCTGACCATCCAGTGCCCCAGTCCCCTCTCATAGCAAGCATAGGGTACTGAGCACCAATTCTAACCCAATTTAATTATTATGACAATGACAGTGTAATTTTCAAGAAAAGCATATTCTTTGACAGTGTGTAATGGTTTGAAGCCTCAGTTCATTACAATACTTACTTCCATAAAAACTGAATCCTATCGTACATGGTTATGGTACATATAAAGGATATGTGGTATGACAATGACAGCTGAATTTTGGCATTAAATAGACAGGGCAAAGTGGAAAGTACAACACTGAAATATGGTAGCTAATAAAATAAACTAGCTACCATCAAGTTCATAACTTTGGCGCAAGCTTATCACTAAGATAAATTCACCAGTCTGGATATAGTGTTACCAAGCAAGGGTAAAATGTTTTGGGTTTAAACTCATGATCATCAAATCCTGACATGACAAAGGGAGGCAACTCTGCACAGAGTACGAGGCCACAATGGTCTGTGCTCTCTCTTAGTTTCAGCAAGTGAAAAGAATCATAGCGAAGGCCACAGCTGTTTGCAATGTTATTGGGCATAGTAAAGAAACAGATTAATCCAAGCTTATTTCTCCAAATTCATTCCACGTGTACTAGGACAGTCTAAGAATTCATGCTATAAAGGAGGATTACCAGAAGATGAAATAACAAACTATAAAATTACAGCCAATTGACTGATAAACTAAAGCAAATTTTAATACATACTAAAAAAGCACTAATTAACCCCAAAAGCCTTAAACCCATTTTGTAAATTACAAGCTGTGTAGGCCACTAATATTTAATCAGTAACAGTTGCTCTTTTTAATTCTTGTCAGTCCCCCAAACTAATGTAACCTGCAGCTAGAGTTAAGGATTGAGAGGGCACTACCCACCATCATCTATGCTGAGGGTGTCAGCCCGGTCCTCTGACTTGCTGTCGGGTAACATGCCCAGTTCTCCCAGCAGCTTCACATAGGCGTGGCTCTGGAGAAACTCCTCATAGAAGTCGATATGTAGGATTTGGTACACCTGTAGCAAGAGAGAGAAACGTGTAAGATCTGGAACACCTGTAGCAAGAGAGATATGTTAGGATCTGGTACACCTGTAGCAAGAGAAAGAAACATGTAGGATTTGGTACACCTGTAGCAAGAGAGATATGTTAGGATCTGGTACACCTGTAGCAAGAGAGATATGTTAGGATCTGGTACAACTGTAGCAAGAGAAAGAAACATGTAATTTTTAGAGTAAAATTGATATTTTATACTTATCCTGACTCATGCTCTTTTGCTTGTCTTCTTCTTCTTGCGAACATAGTGGAACACTTGTATCTCCTTATTTGAAGCTCCCTTCAAAATAAAATCACTAATTGGTACTCACCACGAGTTGCTCCCCTTTGTCTCCCCTGGCGGGAAAGGTGTCGCCACCCTCTGGCCATGTGCTCCACTCTCTCCTGATTTAGCGAGCCCAACACTTGAATTTACAGGGAAATCCAAAGTGTTATGTGGGGAGGATGGGAGGGCTAACCTCATGAGTCAGGATAAGTATAAAATATCAATTTTACTCTAAAAATTACATATTTTTCCTTATCCTGACTCATGCTCTTTGCTTGTAGCATCCCTACGGAGATGAGGTGGGTAACAGAATACTTTGGATTTATAATTAGTGATTTTGTATAGATATACTGTAATATCTCCTCACGGAACTTCATGAAGTCTTAGATTTAGGATGTTTCCTGTATAAAGAAACCATAGGTTATATAAAGCCATTAAAGGGGAATTACATTATGAATATATTGAACAATACATATAAATTATATATATATATATAGGTGACTCTGATAGAGGCACTGAAATTGACTATACCAAAGTATATGCTTAAGGTTGAATACTTAAGCTGAACATATATACATAGCCCTAAAACTCCGTAGAGTTATAAGCTAGATGAGTATGTATAAAATACATATTAATCTTGTGAGGATAATATTTTAACGCCTACGAGGGACTGTCAGTTGCTGAGCTGAGGACCAGTGGTCGAAATGGTGAATGCCAGAGACATCTTCTGTAGTGATGTCTCTTAGGTAGTGATTAGCAAATACCATGTTAGATTTCCAATAGCATCCTTCCATAATCGTGTTCAAGGAACAGTTACCGTGTAGGGCGAGGGTAGAGGCCAGTGCCCTGATCTCATGTGGATTTGATGCTGTTGGTGGGTCCAAGCCTGCTGCCTTGTAGGCACGGAGAATGACAGTCCTTATCCAAATAGATATTGTGGTCCGTGACACTTCTGTTTGATTCAGAGGGCTGATAAGGGGATGAATAAACGCTTGAGAAATCTTCTCCTTGTTTTGGATCGTCAGTGAAATAAACTTTGAGCTCTTACCGACACAGTGATAGGTCTTGTGTATCTTGTGATCCGAGAATAGAGGATAGCTACGGGATGTGGAATAATCTGTCTGGTTGACCTGGCAGTTGATTTTTGGCGATGAAATCCCATCTTAATCCAGAGGGCTGTGTTATGATTGTCATCAAACTGTATCCTCTCAGAATCCAGAGCGTGAATTTCAGACATTCTTGCTGCTGTGGCTAGCTTATAGCAGAAACAGTGTTTTCTGTGAGAGAAATTCAAAGTTTGTCGATTCCAAGGTTCATAGACCTCACTCGTGAGGTGTTGTAACACTACATTCAGATCCCAAGCTGGAAGCGTGGAACTTCCGCTTTTGGTCCTCCAATCGAAAGCTCGTGAGTAAGGCCAGTAACTCTGGAGATCTTGTCAATTTGACACCCGCTCTCATGGTGATTACAGAACTAAGCCGCAAGATATGTTGATATCGTTGAACCTTTTAAATGTTTGTTTTGGCGTAGGTAACACAAATAGTCTGCCACTTGAGGTTGTGAAGCCTCTCTTGCTGTAAACCCTTTCTTTGTTGCATAATTTTCGAAACTGTGCCACTTGTCGTCGTTACAAGTTACGAAGTTGAGTAACGTGAAGGCAAAGCGTGACTGCTTTTGCCGCCCTGGCAGAATATCCTCTCTTGTTTAAACACATTTGTATACAGTCCATAACGTAGTAGTTGGAACATTGCTGGGTTTCCGTGCACTTGTTTGGTGTGAGGATGAATTAACAGGTTTGGCGCCGCTTTGGGTAGCTCCAGTGTTGGTTGACCGATTTCTTGAATTAGTATGGAAACCACGCGTTCTGGCCGCCAGTAGGGCGACCAAAGTGAGTTGTAGGCTCTGTGTTTGTCTGATTTTCTGTAATACTTGAGGTATTATTGCTGGCGGCGGAAACGCGCACGCATTGAGGCCTTCCATGATAGACTTAGAATCCGTTGCCCAAGCTTGGGGGTCTGGGACTGGTGACACCTAATGTCGGTAGCTGATTGTTGAATCAGCGTGCTTAATAGGTCTATTAGCGCGCTCCTAATTGCTTGGTTATCTGTGCAAAAATTTCCTGTTGATCATCCACTCTGTCGGTGATGGTAGATGAGGCCGAGAGAGAGCCGCCTGCTAGTATATTTCTGGCTCGGGGAATGTGCACTGCTCTGACATGTAGATTTAGATCTTGTATTAAATCGAACAGTTGAAAGCTTAGGTTCAAAAGGTTCATCGATCTCGTTGAGCCTTGCTTGTTTATGTAGAACGCCACTGTCGAATTGTCTGTATGGATCATTAGGCCAGCATTTTGTAGGAATGTGCTCCAATGTAGAATGGCGTTGATTACAGCTTTCATTTCTAGACTGTTTATATGGAGTTTGCATTCTTGCTGATTCCATAACCCTGATATCGTGTGGTTGGTGAGATGAGCTCCCCAACCTTGGAGTGACGCTCTACATACAGATGGGTTTTGTATTCCTGCTCTGCTAAACAAATCCCTTCGCAGACATTCGATTTCTTGGTCCACCATAGTAGATGCGGTCTGAGATGTTTCGTAGACTGAATGGTTGTACATCGTTGAGATGTGCGTTGATGAGGACCTGTAGGGGACGTAACTGTAATCTGCCTGTGACAGTCATGTCTTGGGCTGATGTGAGAAGACCTAGTAGGCTCTGCCATTGTCGCAGTGGTAACGAGAGAGTAGAGCTGGTGGAATGGTCTGCTGTATCTTGAGCCAACGGTCTTCTGGTACCATAATACGGTTGCGATTTGTGATGAATCGAATACCTAGGAACTGCAGGTCTTGCGATGGTACTAGGTCCGACTTTATGTAAGTTTACTAACCAACCTAGTTGTGTTAGTAGCTTTATGATGTAATTTAACTGTAGTTTGAGACGCAGTGGATCTTGATCTACTTGTATCCCGGTCGTCGAGGTAAAACGCACTCGCGTAGCCTTTGACGATGTAGAAATTTGATAATCGGTTTCGTTATCCTCGTGAATAGCCAGGGGCTGATGATATTCAATGGGAGTACTTTCCACTGGTAATGTAGCCCTTCTAGAGTAAATCGTAGGTATTTCCTGGAATCGGGATGAATGGGGATGTGCAGGTAGGCATCCTGTAGATCTATGCTGCCCATGTAGTCCATAGGATCTAATCATCTGGCGTAACTGAGGTAAATGTATCATGCGAAACTTCTGGTGGTTCGCGTAGATAGTTCTTGTTGAAAAAGCTCATGTTGTAGATGAGTCTGTATTTCTCCGTGGAGTTTTTCTTGGGAACTAGGAAAACTGGGGAGTAGAAACCTGGTTCGGACGCTTGCTTGATCTATTACTTCTATGGCCTGTTTGGATAGGAGTGATGAAACAGCCTCTCTTATCTTTGGTAGTTGTTAGCAGCTTGTAAATCGAACTTGGGGGTTTGATTGTCAGCGGAGGCTTGGCCTGTAGAGGGATCTGAAATCCGTGTTGAAGAATGTTGGAGACGTAAGGGTCTTGCAATATTCCCCAGTTTTCCCAGTGTAGTTGGAGGCGCCCACCCACTTGAGCTGGCTGTACTGGAACGGCTGGGGTGGAAGACTCCAGTCGTTCCAACCTGTGTTTCAGCGTCTATAATTGCGGGAACCTCTGGGTGTCCTGCCTCTTCCTGATCCTCCTCTATAGTTGCCATATGGGCGTGAAAAGAATCTTTACCTCTAGAGCTGGCTATCTTCCTGTCTCTTCCTCTTTGTAGGCCCGTGAACTTAGATCTGCCTGAGTATCTTTGTGAAGTCTGACGAATGACGCTGGCTAGTGTGTCCATCGATCTAATCATAAGGACTTCCCTGGAATCCTTAGAGACTTCCTTGGCGACTTTGTCGTCGATCTCCGTCAAAGATGGATGTTGTCGACCACGGGCTGTATAAAGTGGGGCTGTAAAGTTCTCCCCTAATTACAGGAGGCGCAGGAGGCCTTGACGACGAGCTAAGGTCAGTGCTGCTGAAACAGATGTAAGATGATCCGTTAAAAACTGCTGATCTTTCTTTTGCATAAGTAAGGCAGAATAAATCATTCTATCATCTTCCGTCGTGGAATCCCGGAATCTAGTAATAAGAGTCTCATTGATCGTCCTAGATCTATTTAACCCAAAGAACATACGTCTCCTCGCCATGGTTTCTATATGAGCCAACTTGCGATCATCCATCTTGTAAATCTTGTTCTTTACATCGCTGATGATCTTATAGTTCTCATCGATGTCCTGGGCCTTGTAGAAGGAGTCCATGTTATGCGTGGAGAACTTCTTGGCTTGAAAGTTGGGCAGATGTGGTATCTGAACTTTCGTAGCTTTCTGGAAAGCTGCATCTAGATTCTGTGGCACTGCCGCTTAATCGGGTCGATCGGGGTAGAGTGATTGCATCTGGATCATCTTCCTTCATCAAATACGTCTCTGCGCCTGTATTGCCACTTTTAGATGGTGATGTGAGATCTAGGTTATTGACCATCCAATACCGTATCTCTGCATCAGAAAATATGATTCCTCCATCATCCTCAAAACCATCATCATCAACAAATTGTAGATGCTCTTTGGGACTGCATGTAGCTGTCTGTATATCTGATGAGGTTTGTGGCGATCGATCTAGTTGACTTGTCGCGCTCTATGTGGAGATCTGACGGGTGATCGGCCTGGTGATGAACGAAGTGGAGATCGTCTATGGGATGATCTTCGGAGACTTGTGTTGATAGCTTAGCGGGCTCTTCGCAGTCCCTCGATGTTCTTCTAGATGATGAGGATCTGGAATCATATGTCCTTCGCGAATGCCTTCGCTGAAGCTTCATTTCGTCCGGTCCGGGGATCGATGATATGACCTTCGCGAAGGCCTCCGTGATGTCTGATGGTCTGAGTCCATATCTAGAGATGAAATCGAAGATGGTGATGATCTCTCCCGCCGCTGAAGGCTGTACATCTAGGTCCTTCGTCCAAGGTGGTGCGGGACTTCGCTTCGCGAAGGTGACATCGCCTTGGCTGCTACGCTTGACGGGGGTGCCTCTGGGGTGCTGTCACGTTGGAGCCTTCGCTGGCTTCGGACTGCTTGGCGCAGTTTGTAGTGGTCCTCCATGATGTTCATAAACTGCCGCATCATGTCTTCTGGGATGATCTGTGACGAAGTCGCCGGGCGCCTTTTCTGCGATGGGGTTCACATCAATGACGCCTGACGCCGGTGTAGAGGCATCAGGCTGCATGGTGATCTCTGCAGAAGTCACAGTCGCTGACACCGGTCAGCTTCTTCTGCCGTAAGTCGGGGATGATTATCGGCTGATCATCGTAGAGGCCCAATTCTGCTGCTGGAGCGATCTCGGCTGAGAAAGTTCTTGCTGTCTTCGTGATTTCCCTTTGGAAGTCTGCGCTGCCCTGGGTGTCCCTCAATCTGCGTTGAGGCGACGATGAGGCCCTCTTAGACTTGGTCTGCAATGGCCGGGATGTCTGGGAGGCCGGTCGTTTCTTTGAGGTAACGGATCATGCCCCACGTTCCTCTGCCGCAGGGGTCTCTAGCAGAACACCAGACGGGAGAGGGTCGACGCTAGCAGCTGACTGGATGGAATATCTGGACTCTCTGCCATGTTTTGCCCTTGTTTGCGTGATCTATCTGCAGCACGCCTTAAGACATAAAGTAGATATTTATTAAATGCAGAATGAGATAAATTAATGCAGTAACTGCAACGCGGAATTAAACGCATGCACGGGCGAGAACAACTAGGGCATATTACATGTGGATCGGAGGCAGAAAACGTAATCTACAAATCGCACAGATTTTCATCAACGTAAAGCTAGCTGAACAATCACGAATACACGTGAATAAACAGTAGAAATACGATAATTAATCAATACAAATAGTAAAGGATACTAGCTATACCTCTATAGTAACCTATGAGAGGTAAAAACTAAGAGATTATCAAAGGATATGGTGTGTAAGGAGACACAAGGCGCTCTCACATCCTGCTCACTGGGCGAAGAAGGAGAGAGTGCAGCACATGGCCAGAGGGTGGCGACACCTTTCCCGCCAGGGGAGACAAAGGGGAGCAACTCGTGGTGAGTACCAATTAGTGATTTTATTTTGAAGGGAGCTTCAAATAAGGAGATACAAGTGTTCCACTATGTTCGCAAGAAGAAGAAGACAAGCAAAAGAGCATGAGTCAGGATAAGGAAAAATATGTAGGATTTGGTACACCTGTAGCAAGAGAGATATGTTAGGATCTGGTACACCTGTAGCAAGAGAGATATGTTAGGATCTGGTACACCTGTAGCAAGAGAGAGCAACATGTAGGATTTGGTACACCTGTAGCAAGAGAGATGTGTTAGGATCTGGTACACCTGTAGCAAGAGAGATATGTTAGGATCTGGTACACCTGTAGCAAGAGAGAGCAACATGTAGGATTTGGTACACCTGTAGCAAGAGAGATGTGTTAGGATCTGGTACACCTGTAGCAAGAGAGAGCAACATGTAGGATTTGGTACACCTGTAGCAAGAGAGATATGTTAGGATCTGGTACACCTGTAGCAAGAGAGAGCAACATGTAGGATTTGGTACACCTGTAGCAAGAGAGAGAAATATGTAGGATCTGGAACACCTGTAGCAAGAGAGATATGTTAGGATCTGGTACACCTGTTGTGTGAGAGAGAGAGACATGTTGGTTCTGGTACACCTGTACCCAAATGGATGTTTGAGTGAGGATTTAAATAACTTAAAATTATTTTAAAATGCCTCTTATCAGGATAGCCTTGGTCTACTCCAGACAGCTGACATTATTTGCTTACCCGAGCTTGCACAGTGTCGAACACATCCTCCGACAGCATCTTGCTCTTGATGTTGTTGATGGTTCTCTTGCTGATGTCTGATTCGACCTTAATCCTGGAGCTGGCCTGGAACAATCAACACTTACATGTCACACCAGTGAGTGTGCGAGTTAATATTTAGCGTCACATTGGCAGTATTTCAGCCATATTATGATGAGAACAATTTATGTATTAAAGATCAAGTCATGTCAAAGGGGACTTACATTACCTCACGATACTTTTAAAATTTCAGACAATCAATGTCGCATGTAAATCTAAAATCAGAGATGTTGATATTATCAGAAGTGTATTACCTCGTCAGACAAATATTGATCACATATTATTAACTTATCTGACAAATACTGATCACATGTTATTACCTTGTCAGACAAATACTGATCATATATTATCATAGCTGTACAACCATGTCAGACAACTATTGATAACGTTATTACCTTGTCAGATAAATAATGATCGTATATGATCACAGCTGTATTACCTTGTCAGACAAATATTGATCACGTTATTACCTTGTCAGACAAATATTGATCACGTTATTACCTTGTCAGACAAATACTGATCATATATTATCACAGCTGTATTTCCTTGTCAGACAAATATTGATCACGTTATTACCTTGTCAGACAAATACCGATCATGTTATTACCTTGTCAAACAGATACTGATAATTTTATTACCTTGTCAGACAAATACTGATCATGTTATTACCTTGTCAGACAAATACTGATCATGTTATTACCTTGTCAGACAAATATTGATCACGTTTTTACCTTGTCAGACAAATACTGATCATATTATTACCTTGTCAGACAAATACTGATCACATGTTATTACCTTGTCAGACAAGTACTGATCGTAGATGATCATTGCTGCTCTGCGTAGTGACTCCAGGTCTGGTTCTGCTGCTTTGCAGTTCTCGTTTTTCAACTTGTGGGCTTCTCTGATCTGCTGTTCAGCTGCCGCCCGGAAACCCTAATACACAGACCAAGGCTATCATCACAGGTGCTACAAAGAGGATGTCTTGGACGAAGATGAGTTTCCATCACACTGAACAAACTGTGTCCTATTACCATAATGGGATGCCCTAAGATCTATATATTTAGCAGTAGTGAGAGATATGATCTAATTTTAAAAGGACCGCAACGACATTAAAAAAGCCATCCTTTACAAATTACAATTTGTATCTAAGTGTCTTAGGTAAACAAAAGCCGTTGTTCATCTCACAGTTAGGACACCTTGTAGGATGAAATGAAACTGATAATGTGACCATGCTTTTTGCGTGGATTTAGTTATCATTATTCACATTATTACTGCATTATTATGTTAAGATGAAAATGAAGCAGAGAGGGTTCGGGTGATCCTGGCACAGTCAGGCTGGTAAGGCTCATCATCAGCACAGGGCCCTTGCCCCCTCTACACGCACCCAGACAGCGAATAGGATTTCTCCCATGAGACCCTGCCTAGTCGAACCAACCAAGAACTTTCTGGAGAATATGAAGGCTCCCAACACTGCAGCCTTCTGCATTACCCAGAGTGTCAGAAGGGCTGTGCTCCCGCTGGAGAACCCGAGCACTCTCCTGATCTGGGCCAAGAGATCAGGAGGTACCGAACCAAGGGATTATTATTATTATTATTACATACTAGTTCACATGTCAATTACTGAGAGTACTTACTTCCACGTTTAAGTAGAAATATAAATACTGCTGCCCCCCTTTACAGGTCATGAATTCTGCAAATAAAAAGATGTATTTTCATAAGAAAAAATGTTTCTATTTTTGTTAGTGTTGGTGTGAGTGAGTGAGTTTAGTTTTACGCCGCACTCAGCAACATTCCAGCTATATGGTGGCGGTCTGTACATAATCAAGTCCGGACCACACAATACAGTGATCAACAGCATGAGCATCGATCTTTGCAATTGGGAACCGTTGACATGTGTCAACCAAGTCAGCAAGCCTGACCACCCGTTAGTTGCCTCTTACAAGATTTCCTAGGACAAACAGCCACTAATCCAATCCATTACAGGCAGAACAGCAGGAGATATTTACATTCCAAAGCAGGAAACTGACCAATGAAAGACTGAAGAGCAATGTTGTTGGCCATAATGTCGTCCAGACTCAGTATATACAAGTTGTGGTACTTCAGAAAGTCAGGACCCTGCAACAGGAGCAGTTTACATTATATCAGGGATGGCTGAAAAGATGATAATCAAGAATAGCGTCGATAGGAAAATAATAAAAGATTATCGATGTGAAAATAGTGTACATTAAATCTGTAACAATTCACTCGCATATTTGGTGAATCGAACTGTAACCCTTCATGAATTCAATTCGTTATTCGTGGTCACCAGGGCCTAGATTTTCGAAGCTCTCTTAGCGCTAAGATAGTCAGTAAGTGCCATTCATTAACATTAACTTACGACTATCTTAGAGCTAAGAGAGCTTCGAAAATCTAGGCCCAGAACCGAATATTAACGAATACTTACAATTTTTTAAAGGGAGCATGTTTTACTTGAACCCTCATGTCCTTTTTCAAAGTGAGATATGGAGTTATGGAATATGTACTAGCCTTGCAGTAGCACAAGTCATGTTAGTTTTCCAAGGCCACACATGGTACTGTCATCTATAACTATTACATACCAAATTTGAGTGTCATGAAATCACTGGTTATTGCTGTGACAAATTAACACTGTCAACATGGGCGTTCCATACTGAACATCAATCACTTAACTACAATATTGTATTCGTGAATAATTATTCATATTTGTTACCCAATATTCATGATATGTATCATATTGCCACATAGTGTATTCGTTGCAGCCCTAGTGTACACAAACTATTGTGATAGAATAAAGTTTTAATTTACCCATATAATATACAAAGTTAACTTTTCAATCATGGCCTAGTTCTAAATAATGTTTCGGATGATGTTTTGTTAGTTACCATGCACAGACATGTCTCCACTCACCAGTGATGTGAAATATATTCATTTCTTTCACACAGTTTTTGGCCTTTTTGCTCAAAGTTACTTCTCAGATAATTATTGATCGTTATTTAGTTAATGATTATCATGGGCTAGTTCTAAATAATGTTTCGGATGATGTTTAGTTAGTTACCATGCACAGACATGTCTCCACTCACCAGTGATGTGAAATATATTCATTTCTTTCACACAGTTTTTGGCCTTTTTGCTCAAAGTTACTTCACAGATAATTACTGATCGTTATTTAGTTAATGATTATCAATATTTATGATCTATAGCGATAGATAGCCCTACATTATACTATTATCTATAAAGCTACAACTGTTTCAAAGCATTTAAATTTGGCATTTTAATGTGAGCTAAAAATATCAAAACCATGGTTACCATGGCTACAGGCCCCGATTTCCCGAAACAAGCTTAAATTTTACTCAAATTTCAAACTGAGTTTGACAATTTGAAACAGCTGTATTTTTAACTCAACTGCTTTTTTTAAATAAAAAAAGCCCAAACAACTTAAGTAATCTATCCACCAAACTCAAATTGTCTACTAAGTTTGAGTTTAATATTGATTTCAGTTTATTCTGGGAAATGCATTTTCCTGCGTTTTCTCAAATTTGAGTAAAAACTCAGACTTAAGTTTGTTTCGAGAAATCGGGGCCTGATCAGACAGTCATAACTTGAGTGCTCTTTGATGCCATTTATGGGACTGACAGTCGTTCAGAACATATTTTAATTGCAGCCCAATTCCATAATTGAATCCATGCATCACAAAACGAGTAATGATGGATTTGAGGGAAACTTATTGATAACTAAAAAAAGACTGACAAGGTTCTGAAGCACAGGTTCTGACCTATGAAGATATAGTGGTGGCCTAGTATATAATCTGATCAGAATTCTGTGAGAACTTTTAGACACACTACATCTGGGATAATTCATGCGATGTTTCACATCCATAAGACTTGTACTTCGGGAGGAGATGTTGAAAAACAGTAACTGAAGGGTGCTCAATAGTGTGTAAACAGAACTTGCAGAATAACTGTATACCTCATCTTCTGGTAGAATGTCTGGCTCTGTTGGTCCATCCTGTAACCGCTTCTTGCGAGCCTCACATGTGTCCCGCACAAACACTAAACTGTTCAAGTTCTGCTTAATAATAGCATCTGAAACAGAGGCAGATGTGATGGTCAATACATTCATGTTAAAGAAGTGAGTGAGTGAGTGAGTGAGTGAGTGAGTGACTGAGTTTGGTTTTACGCCACTTTAAGCAATATTCCAGCAACATCACGGCAGGGGACACCAGAAATGGGCTTCACACATTGTGCCCAGGAGTGAACCGGGAGTGACTTTAGGTTTAACCATTAGGCTACCCCACACTCAGTGAGTGAGTGAGTGACTTTAGGTTTAAGCCACACTCAGCAATATTCCAGCTATATGGCGGTGATCTGTAAATAATCGTGTCTGGACCAGACAATCCAGTGATCAACAGTATGAGCATCGATCTACACAATTGGGATATGAAGTGTCCACCAAGTCAGTGAGTCAGACCACCCAATCCTGCTAGTCACCTCTTATGACAAGCATGGGTTACTGAAAACCAATTCTAACACGGATCTTCACGGGTGTTAAAGACGAGAGGTGAAAATGGACGTAATGTACTGTTAAAACATGTTGCACTTCAAACGTAACGTGTGTGTGAGTGCTAGTTTTTGTCTGTGTGTGTCTTGGACTAATCCTGTTTTTATGGAGCTCATATTTATCAGTTGTGCCCAAGGGAGCCAACTCTGCACAGCCTATTGTGGCACATCAGACGACGACCAACTGTGCCTCCTATAAGTTAATTAGTTGCACCAAAAGTAGACAGACATGCTGACTACGCCTCATTCAGACTTTTCACTGGACTTGTACACTCAAAATGTCAAATGAACTCGCAAGACATTTACAATACTTCAAACGTTGTAATACCTCCATGGTGGAGTACTAAGCACTCACCATCACTGCCCCCAGTATCCTTAGATCGCCACTTGGCTATCTCAGACTCTATAATGTCCTTCACAGCGTCAAGTTCAGCCTCGGTATCACTTGTCTTTATCACAGTCAGAAATGTCTCCTTAGTAAAGGATGGTTCACGGCACTGGAGGATAAACAAACAAATAATTGATACAATGCAAAGCATACAAGTCATTTCCAATTTCAAGCCATGTTTTATCATGTTGTAAAGGATCAGTGGATTCAAGTGGGGATATGGTGTATTAAGAATCGGTTAAAAATAATTCCATGAGTATATATTCCACATTCTAAAACAAACGTAGGCACCATTCCACCTTTGTTACTTTGAGTGAGTATGGTTTTATGCTGCTCTTGGTAATATTCTAGCAATGTCAACCAAAGTGGGTGGGGAACTGAACCTGGGTTTCTGGTGTCATGAGCGAATACTCTAACCACTAGACTATCACACCACCCATACGCTACTTTCATTGGGTCGTATATAGAGTTCCTCTGCTGGTGCCAGTGAAACTGTAATCCATGACTGTTAAACATTTATTCTGTTTCATCTGTTTCTCATTACAGCTTGTTTTGGCTTTTTAAAACTTTTTCCATGGAAACAAAATTCATACATGAATTGTTAGAAGGAAAATCTTGCTCAAGTTTTCAGACCTGACTATTACAATGTTTGGCACTAAACTATGAACTGGGACACAGTTATACTCCAGTGGGATTAATGTCATTACTCACCAGCCATGCGATATATTGGTTGATATAGTCTGGATCTGACAAGAGATCTATTGTCGGCATAAAAACACCATTGACTAAAACTTCCTGAAAAAAAGAGAAGAAAAAACACTATGAAGAGGAGACCTGGATTAGATGTGTGCAAATTCAGGCTGTGTGTGCACCTGTGTCCATCAAGTGTGTGAATGCCTGTGTCTGTTCATGCGTGTGTAGGTCTGCATCAGTCATGAGTGTGCATGCCTGTGTCCATCATGTGTGTGAATGCCTGTGTCCGTCATGTGTGTGCATGCCTGTGTCCATCATGTGTGTGTGTATGCCTGTGTCCATCATGTGTGAATGCCTGTATCCGTTATGTGTGTGCATGCCTGTGTACGTTATGTGTGTGAATGCCTGTGTCCGTCATGTGTGTGAATTCCTGTGTACGTTATGTGTGTGCATGCCTGTGTCCATCATGTGTGCATGCCAATGTCATGTGTGCATGCCTGTGTCCATCATGTGTGTGCATGCCTGTGTCCATCATGTGTGTGAATGCCTGTGTCCATCATGTGTGTGAATGCCTGTGTCCATCATGTGTGTGAATGCCTGTGTCCATCATGTGTGTGAATGCCTGTGTCCGTCATCATGTGTGTGAATGCCTGTGCCTGTCCATGCCTGTGTCCATGTGTGTGAATGCCTGTGTCCATCATATGTGTGTGCCTGTGTGCCTGTGTCCATCATGTGTGTGAATGCCTGTGTCCATCATGTGTGTGCATGCCTGTGTCCATCATGTGTGAATGCCTGTGTCCATCTGTCATGTGTGTGCCTGTGCATGCCTGTGTCCATCATGTGTGTGCATGCTGTGTCCATCATGTGTCCGTCCATCATGTGTGAATGCCTGCGTCCATCATGTGTGTGAATGCCTGTGTCCATCATGTGTGTGAATGCCTGTGTCCATCATGTGTGTGAATGCCTGTGTCCATCATGTGTGTGCATGCCTGTGTCCATCATGTGTGTGCATGCCTTGTACTTTTTGTAGTCATAGGCTTCTCGACTAGCATGAATCGTGAATGAGTGAGCGAGTTTAGTTTTACGCCGGTTGTGGCAATGGCATCATTCCTCTAGCCCCCGTCCCCCTGTTGTTACAAGCCACTATAGTACCTCTTGCCCCTCGCCTGGCTGTTCTGTTAGCTGTACTCACTTCCCTGTTAGGTTAGCTCGTTAGGTTAGGTGTGGGTTGTGAATAGATGACTACCGGTACTTGGTATAGATAATAGAGAATCATGGATCACTGATCAGGAGGAAATGTTCATTAAGCAGTTGATGGTTGTGAGAAGGAAGGAAGCATATTTGTTTTGTCAATTATTAGCAACAATGATCATCTAATGATCAATAATGATCACTGAGCTGTGATTCTCTATACCAAGTGCCGGTAGTCACCTACTCACAACACCTGACCTAACGAGTTAATTAATAGTAGCAGTTAATCCAGTTACAGGGGAGTGAGTACAGCTGAGTAATACGGTGAGTAATAATTATCAGCTTGTAACAACAGGAGGCTAGGGGGACGAGGGCTAGAGGGGTGTAGTCGTGGCACTATTCCAGCAATATCACGGCGGACACCAGACATGGGCTTCACACACTGTACACATGTGGGGAATTGAACCGGGTGAACGCTTTAACCACTAGGCTCCCCCCCCCCCCATGAATCATGAAGGCTATAGGATATTTGCGGATGTTGAATGAGCAGTGTAGAATGTATCTGCTGACCAATATGTCTCTGAAGGATCATTACGATCAAGTTACTTAAATTTCTCCCCAATCTTGCATAAAGAAACCAAAAACTCAAGATTGTGTGAAATGTGTTCCTGTAACTATGTAGAAAATGAGTACCACATTTTACTGATTTGTACTGCCTATGATGATCTAAGTAAACGTTTTATCCCTGTCGATGTTTTCACCCATCCAACCTTGTGTAAATTTAATCGACTGATGAGTAATGCTACTCCTCTGGTTTTAAGACATCTTGCCTTATTTATCTTCTATGCTAACAATCGTTGTCGCTACAGCTTGAAGGCTGCCAATGTATAATGCTGTACCATGTGCCGATGGCCTACATTCACATGAAATAAAGACTAAGCTATATGTATACAAATTGTCAGACAGATCACTTACCCTAACTACATATCTAAAGGGTTTGTTGTAGAAATCTTCTTTTGGTAAAAGTAGGAATAAAATAACTTCAATCAGGTCTTGTAGATATTCTGGAAGACAGAACAACAATTTTAACCATGATATAGATATAAATAGAGGGCTAATTGTGTTATTTTCACAACTGCAATCATATCACACCCACTGTAAGGCTTATATGTATCTTTTGACAAGGGAAACCATGCCAATTCATGCTTGTCACAGCAGTACACAAAGCATGGGATCTAGACTACCAGTTGTCGGACTTTCATTTTAGTGAGTGAGTGAGTGAGCTTAGTTTTACGCTGCTCTCAGTAATATTCCAGCTATATGGTGTAAATAATCGAGTCTGGACCAGACAATCCAGTGATCAACAGCATGAGCACCGATCTACGCAATTGGGAACCGATGACATGTGTCAAACAAGTCAGCGAGTCTGACCACCCTACCCTGTTAGTCGCCTCTTATGACAAGCATGGGTTACTGAAGATCAATTCTAACCCGGACCTTCATGGGTTCCATTTTAGTGGAAGTCTCAGTGGTTGAACCGGAAGGATCTGCAGTGAATATTGTTTCATCATACTCTTTGTGAGCATAGTTGTTTTGCAGTCTGTTTGTTTGTTGTTAAATGCAATATTCCAGCTATATAGCTGTGGTTTGGACCAGACAATCCAGTGATCAACATGAACATCGTTCTACACAATCAGGATACGACGACATGTGTCAACCAAGTCAGTGAGTCTGACCACCTGATCCTGTTAGTGGCCTCTTACGACAGGCATGGATTACTGAAGACCAATTCTAACCTGGATCTTTAACTGTCTGTTTTGCAGTCTGAGAATACACTTGTATACCACTGTTTTGAAACTGATGGGGCCTACATAAATGCTTCAAATCATCCAAGATTCACAACGGCAAAACTATGACTGAAGAATTATGCAGGGAACAAGCGCTTACTTGAGACAACACATCTAAGTTCGACACAACAGTGTTGCACTGTAAAGTGAGTATGGGTCAGGCTGACAAGTAGTTAACTGAGAAATCATACTTACGTCTTTCTGCCTCTGGGGATAAACATACAAGATCACGACTCATGTTGTTTTCCATATTAACCTCCAGGTCAAAGAAAATATTTTCAAGATCAGCTGTTTCTCGTTCTGAAATGGAATCATGACATAGGTAATAGATTTTAGGGTAGAAAGTTCTAGTTTTGAATGAAAGTGATACCCATCATGAATGGCATATTCCAAAGTTGGTTTGTCAAGTAATCTGGAGTGAGTGAGTGAGTTGGGTTTTTCAACGCTTTTAGCAATATTCAAGTAATATCATGGCAGGGGACACCAGAAATGGGCTTCACACATAGTACCCATGCGGGGAATTGAAACCAGGTCTTCGGCGTGATGAGCGAATGCTTTAACCACTAGGCTATCCCACCAGCCCCAAGTAATCTGGATAAGCAGGAACAATTATCGAGATCTAAACACTGGGCAGACTTAATCTTCCCCAATACGATAGCTCCATGGATTGAGTGAGTGAGTAAGTCGGGTTTGATGCTGCTTCTAGCTACATCATGGTGAAGGGACACAAGAAATGGGTTTCACATATTACACTCATTATGAGGAACTAAACCACAGCATGGTAATAGAATACTTTACCCACATAGTAAACAAGGCAATAACATTTCTAAAACACATAAAACTGAGATAAAGGTGCTGTATCTGGCTGCAGTGACAATGGCCATGAAGGGAGCTCCACACATGCCTACAGTGCAGGTCCTATTTCCACAATTTCATTAAAATCAGATAAATTTTCCAGTTCGTCTGGCAAGAGGCAATTAGTTTGCACTCCCAGATCCATGTACATCCTCTAAGCAGTGACTGCCTGTTACTGTAGCAGCTGCTGCTGCTGCATCATTGTCCACAGCTCGGACTCACCTTCTTTAGGAAGCCTCGCCTTCTTGTCCACAGCTTGCCGGTACAGGCGGATGTGTGATGCAAAGTCGTCAACAAGCCGCCTGGTGAAGTGGGGCATCCAGTCTATCTCCTTTGCTCTGAAAATGGCACAATGTTCTTACTAAAATGGTTAGCATGGGTTTGTAAGCAGAGTGTGATAACATAACATGGCAACTTTAATTTCAGTTCCGAAGATCGAATCTAGTAAAATCAATTAAGCTCTGCTAATTGACTTACAACATCCTACTGGAAATTATACTTAAAAGCAGGTTTGACTTTTAGGGAATGGACTTTATAAGCCATTTATAAGGGTGTGATAGCATAATACTAGCTTTCAGGGCATAATTTTGGACAATCATGTACCGACCTGTTGGAGAAGGTGATGATAGCCTTCTGGGCACACTGTCGGACATCCAAGGGGAAGCGGTCGTGATCACTGAGCTGTCGGTACCAGGTCTTGATGTAGTCTCGGATGGTGTGGTCCAACACCTGCATATAAAGAGACATTAACACAGGCCAACTATGTCAGAGCAGACAGTAAATAATGGAATCTGGGTTGGACAATCCAGTGATTAATATCATGAGCATCAATCCATGTCATCGACATACAATGCTACATCTTCAAGCAAACTGGTGGGGTAGCCCAGTGGTTCAAGTGTTTTCTCATCACACTGAAAACCTGGGTTTCATGCACAGGTACAAATATGAAAAGCCATTTCTGGTGTCCCCTCATGGTGGACTTGCCAAACTCAGAAACATCATGGAGCAGAATTCAAGTTCATTATTTCATGCACAGGTTTCCATGACAATGAAACAAGGAGAATTTATGAATTTTCATATCAAATTTGATAAAAGGTCCAACTAACAATAAACATTTGCAACATTAAGTACTTAAAATGCCTATTATACTTAACTGATTGAAAATACTTGTCTTAACTAGGGCAACTGACAAGAACGCAATTCGTTTATTATCGACTACCTACCTCTTGGAGGGCATCGTCGATGATGCTGGCCTGTCATTCTTTTGTCAAAGTTTTTCAACTTTGTGGTCTGCTCCATCCTTGCTTTTATCTGAAAAGTTTTCAAAGATTTTCTCTAATCTGAAAACTTTAATCTAACCTTATCTGGTAAATGGCTTCTTGCTGGGTCCAATTCTAACCCCCAGCAGGGGACTGTGGCTTAACTAGGGATGACTATTTGGGCTATTTTCACTATTGAGAATGTATTGCTATAGCAGCCCACACTATTTAATAGTACTGTGGTAGTAATAAAATACAGCATGATAATCATCTTAATTTTATAAAAATGAATAAAGTATTGCTGACAATCTCAAAGTCTGCCACTTCCCTTCCTGTTGCTCTACAAACTAAAGGGAAGTAACTCTTATCTGAACATGCTGAAGTTAATCATTGCTCATCCACACACAGACAGTGTGCAGTGAGCAGAATTTTTGTTTTATCTGAAACGAATGGCAACTATTGAAACTATCAATTATACTGCATTCTACTGACAATACTTCAATACTATCCAAAATCTTCTGGAGATTTTTTCCAGGTAGGCATGATAGTTTACCTTCTGCACAGCTCTCTGTGGCCTCCGGACACCAGTGACTGTGTCGTCCAGATCTTCCTGGGACATCACCTTGCCATAGGAGTAGATGATCACCATACTCCTGTAGACATAGCATTAGCATTAGACCATGGTCCCTGTTCCATAATAGCATTAGACCAGGCCATTGTTCCACAATACCAATAGACCAGGCCCCTGTTACACAATAGCAATAGACCAGGCCATTGTTCCACAATACCAATAGACCAGGCCCCTGTTACACAATAGCAATAGACCAGGACCCTGTTCCACATAAGCATTACACCAGGCCCCTGTTACACAATAGCATTAAACCAGGACCCTGTTCCACAACAGCATTAGACCAGGACCCTGTTACACAATAGCATTAAACCAGGCCATTGTTCCACAATAGCATTAGACCAGGCCCCTGTTCCACAATAGCATTAGACCAGGACCCTGTTCCACAATAGCATTAGACCAGGCCCCTGTTCCACAATAGCATTAGACCAGGACCCTGTTCCACAATAGCATTAGACCATGGACCCTGTTCCACAATAGCATTAGACCAGGACCCTGTTCCACAATAGCATTAGACCAGGACCCTGTTCCACAATAGCATTAGACCAGGACCCTGTTCCACAACAGCATTAGACCATGGTCCTGTTCCACAATAGCATTAGACCAGGACCCTGTTCCACAAAAGCATTAGACCATGGTCCTGTTCCACAATAGCATTAGACCAGGACCCTGTTCCACAATAGCATTAGACCAGGACCCTGTTCCACAATAGCATTAGACCAGGACCCTGTTCCACAATAGCATTAGACCAGGACCCTGTTCAACAGCAGCATTAGACAAGGACCCTGTTCCACAATAGCATTAGACCAGGACCCTGTTCCACACCATAGCATTAGACCAGGACCCTGTTCCACAACAGCATTAGACCAGGGTCCTGTTCCACAATAGCATTAGACCAGGATCCTGTTCCACAATAGCATTAGACCAGGACCCTGTTCCACAATAGCATTAGACCAGGACCCTGTTCCACAATAGCATTAGACCAGGACCCTGTTCCACAATAGCATTAGACCAGGACCCTGTTCCACAGCAGCATTAGACCAGGACCCTGTTCCACAAGTAGCATTAGACCAGGACCCTGTTCACACATTAGCATTAGTAGCATTAGCATTAGACAAGGACCCTGTTCCACAATAGCATTAGACCAGGACCCTGTTCCACAATAGCATTAGACAAGGACCCTGTTCCACAATAGCATTAGACCAGGACCATGGACCAGGACCCTGTTCCACAATAGCATTAGACAAGGACCCTGTTCCACAGTAGCATTAGACCAAGGACCCTGTTCCACAATAGCATTAGACCAGGACCCTGTTCCACAATAGCATTAGACCAGGACCCTGTTCCCTAGCATTAGACCAGGACCCTGTTCCACACAGTAGCATTAGACCATGGTCCTGTTCCACAATAGCATTAGACAAGGGTCCTGTTCCACAATAGCATTAGACCAGGACCCTGTTCCACAATAGCATTAGACCAGGACCCTGTTCCACTCCACAGTAGCATTAGACCATGGACCCTGTTCCACAGTAGCATTAGACCAGGATCCTGTTCCACAACAGCATTAGACCATGGTCCTGTTCCACAATAGCATTAGACCAGGACCCTGTTCCACAATAGCATTAGACCATGGACCCTGTTCCACAATAGCATTAGACCAGGACCCTGTTCCACAACAGCATTAGACAAGGACCCTGTTCCACAATAGCATTAGACCAGGACCCTGTTCCACAGCAGCATTAGACCAGGACCCTGTTCCACAATAGCATTAGACCATGGTCCTGTTCCACAATAGCATTAGACAAGGACCCTGTTCCACAATAGCATTAGACCATGGACCCTGTTCCACAATAGCATTAGACCAGGACCCTGTTCCACAAATAGCATTAGACCATGGTCCTGTTCCACAATTAGCATTAGACCAGGACCCTGTTCCACAATAGCATTAGACCATGGTCCTGTTCCACAATAGCATTAGACCAGGACCCCCTGTTCCACATAGCATTAGACCAGGACCCTGTTCCACAATAGCATTAGACCAGGACCCTGTTCCCACAATAGACCAGGACCAGGGACCCTGTTCACAGCAGCATTAGGACCAGGATCCTGTTCCACAATAGCATTAGACCAGGACCCTGTTCCACAATAGCATTAGACCATGGTCCTGTTCCACAATAGCATTAGACAAGGACCCTGTTCCACAATAGCATTAGACCATGGTCCTGTTCCACAATAGCATTAGACCAGGACCCTGTTCCACAATAGCATTAGACCAGGACCCTGTTCCACAATAGCATTAGACCAGGACCCTGTTCCACAGTAGCATTAGACCAGGACCCTGTTCCACAATAGCATTAGACAAGGACCCTGTTCCACAGCAGCATTAGACAAGGATCCTGTTCCACAATAGCATTAGACCACCCTGTTCCACAATAGCATTAGACCAGGACCCTGTTCCACAGCAGCATTAGACAAGGACCCTGTTCCACAATAGCATTAGACCAGGACCCTGTTCCACAGTAGCATTAGACCAGGACCCTGTTCCACAGCAGCATTAGACCATGGACCCTGGGTCCTGTTCCACAGCAGCATTAGACCAAGGACCCTGTTCCACAGCAGCATTAGACAAGGATCCTGTTCCACAGTAGCATTAGACAAGGACCCTGTTCCACAGCAGCATTAGACCAGGACCCTGTTCCACAGCAGCATTAGACAAGGATCCTGTTCCACAATAGCATTAGACAAGGACCCTGTTCCACAGCAGCATTAGACCAGGACCCTGTTCCACAATAGCATTAGCATTAGACAGGAGGACCCTGTTCCACAGCAGCATTAGACAAGGATCCTGTTCCACAATAGCATTAGACAAGGACCCTGTTCCACAGCAGCATTAGACCAGGACCCTGTTCCACAGCAGCATTAGACCAGGACCCTGTTCCACAGTAGCATTAGACAAGGACCCTGTTCCACAATAGCATTAGACCAGGACCCTGTTCCACAATAGCATTAGACAAGGACCCTGTTCCACAATAGCATTAGACAAGGACCCTGTTCCACAATAGCATTAGACCATGGTCCTGTTCCACAATAGTATTAGACCAGGACTTCTGTTCCACAATAGTTCTTGCACACGATAGAATCACGTAAAGAAAGAGGAAAATTGTAAAGTACATCAATTATGTATGCATTAATATACCTTCAAAACAAGATAACAGTAATCTTTGACATATATGAATATGAAAAACTTCCCCACATTGTTTTTGCTATCCTAAACAACTTGTATGACACATTGTATACAGGGAAGTGGTCACAAACAGTAGACTTTTTTTTATTCCAGGATCAGCTGCTGATATCTAAACTTCTTAATTTCAATTTGACTTGTCACTTAGTAAACCTCTCAACTATCAGTACTTTGCAAGCAAATTTTAATGCATATTCATCAGTATTCCTTTTAGTACAAGAATCTTTAGATGAACCCAGACCCTTATCAATACTGCTATAATATCAACATTAACACAAGCATTCAAGTTCAGGAAATCACACGGGAAAGTCTGTTGCCTATTTTATTATAACCCTGATATACACCAATCAATGTCAAAACATATATTAAATTAATGGATGTCAACTTCTGTATATTCTGTATAATGATGAGCATGACGTTTTGTGGTATGTACATAATATTATATATGCCATTCAAAGGTTTTGAATTTCTAGTTCTTACTCTGTCCATATTGACTAATTCTGAACTAGATAAGGAAGTGTTGTGTGACTTACCCTGCTGCCACAGCCAGGGCGTAGATGGCAAACAGCAGCCCGAAGCTGCCAAACGACACCAGAAACAGTCCTGCAGCCAGTGTCAGCCATATCCAGCTGCTTTCCAACATCATCATCTGAAACATTGACAGTCAAACTCATTGTCTGTAACAACACTTAACATCATCATCTGTAACAACACTCAACATCATCCTCTGTAACAAGTCATACTCATCATCTGTAACAACACAACATCATCATCTGTAACACAACATCATCATCTGTAACAACACTCAACATCATCATCTGTAACAACACTCAACATCATCTGTAACAACACTCAACATCATCATCTGTAACATTGACACTCAACATCATCATCTGTAACATTGACACTCAACATCATCTGTAACAACACTCAACATCATCATCTGTAACAACACTCAACATCATCATCTGTAACATTGACACTCAACATCATCTGTAACATTGACACTCAACATCATCATCTGTAACAAGTCAACATCATCATCTGTAACACAACATCGTCATCTGTAACATTGACACTCAACATCATCATCTGTAACAACACTCAACATCATCATCTGTAACAACACTCAACATCATCATCTGTAACATTGACACTCAACATCATCTTCTGTAACATTGACACTCAACATCATCATCTGTAACAACACTCAACATCATCATCTGTAACAACACATCGTCATCTGTTACACAACATCATCATCTGTAACATTGACACTCCTCAACATCATCATTTGTAACACCACTCAACATCATCTGTAACAACACTCAACATCATCATCTGCAACATTGACACTCAACATCATCATCTGTAACATTGACACTCAACATCATCATCTGTAACAACACTCAACATCATCATCTGTAACATTGACGTCAACATCATCATCTGTAACAACACTCAACATCATCATCTGTAACAACAGTGAAACTCATCATCTGTAACAACACTCAACATCATCATCTGTAACAACACTCAACATCATCATCTGTAGGGGCCGTGGGGTAGCCTAATGGTTAAAGCGTTGGATCGTCACGCTGAAGACCCGGGTTCGAATCCCCACATGGGTACAATGTGTGAACCCCATTTCTGGTGTCCCCTGCCGTGATGTTGCTGGAATATTGCTAAAAGCGGCGTAAAACCAAACTCAGTCAGTCAGTCATCATCTGTAACAACACTCAACATCATCATCTGTAACATTGACACTCAACATCATCATCTGTAACAACACCCAACATCATCATCTGTAACATTGACACTCAACATCATCTGTAACATTGACACTCAACATCATCTGTAACAACACTCAACATCATCATCTGTAACATTGACACTCAACATCATCTGTAACATTGACACTCAACATCATCATCTGTAACAACACTCAACATCATCATCTGTAACATTGACACTCAACATCATCTGTAACAACACTCAACATCATCATCTGTAACAACACTCAACATCATCATCTGTAACATTGACACTCAACATCATCATCTGTAACATTGACACTCAACATCATCATCTGTAACAACACTCAACATCATCATCTGTAACAACACTCAACATCATCATCTGTAACATTGACACTCAACATCATCATCTGTAACAACACTCAACATCATCATCTGTAACATTGACACTCAACATCATCATCTGTAACAACACTCAACATCATCATCTGTAACATTGACACTCAACATCATCATCTGTAACAACACTCAACATCATCATCTGTAACAACACTCATCATCATCTGTAACATTGACACTCAACATCATCATCTGTAACAACACTCAACATCATCATCTGTAACAACACTCAACATCATCATCTGTAACAACACTCAACATCATCATCTGTAACATTGACACTCAACATCATCATCTGTAACATTGACACTCAACATCATCATCTGTAACAACACTCAACATCATCATCTGTAACATTGACACTCAACATCATCATCTGTAACAACACTCAACATCATCATCTGTAACATTGACACTCAACATCATCATCTGTAACAACACTCAACATCATCATCTGTAACAACACTCATCATCATCTGTAACCACTCAACATCATCTGTAACACCACTCAACATCATTGTAACAACACTCAACATCATCATCTGTAACATTGACACTCAACATCATCTGTAACATTGACACTCAACATCATCATCTGTAAAAACACTCAACATCATCTGTAACAACAGTCAACATCATCTGTAACATTGACGCCAACATCATCTGTAACAACACTCAACATCATCTGCAGATGACACTCAACATCATCATCTGTAACAACACTCAACATCATCATCTGTAACAACACCCAACATCATCATCTGTAACAACACTCAACATCATCATCTGTAACAACACTCAACATCATCATCTGTAACATTGACACTCAACATCATCTGTAACAACACTCAACATCATCATCTGTAACAACACTCAACATCATCATCTGTAACAACACTCAACATCATCATCTGTAACATTGACACTCAACATCATCTGTAACAACACTCAACATCATCATTCGTAACATTGACACTCAACATCATCATCTGTAACAACACTCAACATCATCATCTAAAATGACTGTTAAACTCATTGTCTGTAACAACACTCAACATCATCATCTAAAATGACTGTTAAACTCATTGTCTGTAACAACACTCAACATCATCATCTAAAATGACTGTTAAACTCATTGTCTGTAACAACACTCAACATCATGAAGTGAGTTATGATAGAAGCCTCGTGAACGGTACATTCGACTACCCAGCAGAGACACCTGATTGGATAAAAAGCCAGCAAAGGGCCGAGCATCCAGGGTACTTGTGGAGATTTATTGGAACATATACCCTGGAGATTATCAAGGATGTCTATTACCATACAAACAGCATATTTCTGGGCACATTTGGAGCTGTTTACGACTAACAAAATCTCAACAGCTGCAACTAATACAATATAATGTGAACATGATATGTTTCTTGAAATATGTGGTGACAAATAGGGATGTGTATACGTGAATTCTTTGTTCAATATCAAGAAATTATAGATCCAAGTAAAAATGCTCCTTGAAAAAATATTTTGATTTTTGTGATTCAATAATGAATTCATGAAAGAATATGGTTCAATTGACTGAATCTTAACAGGACTAGTAAATACAGTAAATACTAACATTCTGTCTTTTAGGACTGATCATGATTTGCAAGACCTATTTTGCTTATTGAAAAAAAGTAGCTTATCACACCCACTGATCCCAGAATGATCGAGTGAGTGAGAGTGAGTGAGTGAGTGAGTGAGTGAGTGAGTGAGTGGATTGTTGTTTAACGCCGCACTCATCAATATTCCAGCTATATGGCAGTGATCAGTAAATAATTGAGTCTTGACCAGACAATCCAGTGATTAACAGCATGAGCATCAAGCTACACAACTGGGATACAATGACATATGTCAACTAAGTCAGCGAGCCTAACCACTTGATCCCATTAGTTGCCTCTTACTTCCTTCAGAGACAAGCCAGGAGGTCTGGCGACCCATAACTTAACTAGCTGACAATGCCCACCCAGAAATTTGTAAATAATTGCTAGAGTACAAAATGCTGTTTCAGTACTCAAAATTTTGCTTATCTGCAGTCATATATGGTAGGTAATGGTAATCATTACCATTTGTCTCAGGGAAGTTAGATATTAATGTTTTCTTCAGATATAACAAAACCTATCCCTACAAAAACGTTACCAAATGAGTGAGTGAGTGAGTGAGTTTACACTGCTTTAAGCAATATTCCAACAATATCACAGCAGGGACACCAGAAATGGGCTTCACACATTGTACCCATGTGGGGAATCGAACATAAGTCTTTGGTGTGACGATGGAACACTTTAACCACTAGGCTACACCACAGCCCACCAAATAAATGATGTACTGTGAGCAATGGTTCAGTGGGCAGGCAGCTATTTGGAATATTCAAGTCAAGTCCATACAAAAAGCAACATTACCATTACTTGATGAATTGTTGGACCCACCTGAGTCATTCAACTAATACCTGCAACCGTGCACCTGACTTTGTAGGCAGTAGGCACAGCTATTGAGGCAACGAAAATCAATAAAATCAATAGGAGCTCCTTAATGATCTGCAGTTACATAGTTGAGCGAATTCATATCTTCAATTATTAGTTGGAATAACTGGCCTGGTTTAGTTAATCTTATTGATAGTGGTTACAGTAAACATGGTAACAGTAAACTCTATTGAAGCAAAAATATAAACAAATATTATCTGACATTAACAGTGTGCCAGGCCTTAACCATGCGAGCCACGCTCACCAAATCAATTCCACACTGGCCTAAATACAGTTACTGTCTTTCAAAGTCAATCACATGCATATTTTGTTTTTCATGTCTCATGGAGGAATATTCCAGTTTCTTGATGGTGGCCTGTAAATAATCGGGCCTGGACTAGGCAATCCAGTGAGTGACATCTACGCCTTTAGAGCAACATGACAAGTCAGAGCGCCTGGCAACCCTATCAGTTTTGTCACCTTGTATAACAGGTGTTGTTGCTAAGGACCTATTCTGCCCCGAAATTCACTTGGGTCGAAACATAAGAGAAAAACTCATAATTTATGGTAACAATATTGCTTAGGGTGAGATTTCATTGTTGTTGAATCTCAGCTCAAGGGACAGAATATCTGTCAACTTTATCAGGACTCGATTTAAGAGATATTAACCTACTTGCACCAGGTGCAACCTAAGATAAAAACCTAGTTGCACCAGCCAAATTCCAGTTGAACAGCTATTATTGCAATATGTAGTGTAAGAAATATGCTATTGAATTATTTAGATGTTTGATTCAGAGTTTACCCATTCAAAATTTCAGTTGTACCTGGTGCAAGTTAGCCTAATAACTAGGTTGCACTTTGTAAGATTGGGTTGCACCAGTGCAAGTAACAAAGTACTTAACCGAGCTCTGGTTATGAAGTAACAATAGTTGTATTCAAGATGATTCCCATATCTATTGTACCAGTGATTTTACTGACAACAATTGCCTTTTGGATATGACTGA